TTTGCACTTTATGGCTGCAAAACGTGGACGCTGACCCAAAGAGTCAGAGGCAGGTTAGCAGTATTTAAAATGTGATGATGATGAACCCATGACGAGGTCCTGCCAATGGTGAGCAAAGAGAGGCAATTGTTGAATGCCATTGAAAACCGAAGAGGCAAAATGGTTGGCCACCTGATACGACACGACAACTTCTTCAGAATAATACTGGAAGTAAAAATAGAAGGCGAGAGAAAACGAGGACGGCCTAGATCAACATACATACAGCAAGTGAAGGAGAAAGTGGGAGTTGTGGCCTATCAGGAGGTCAAACAAATCGCAGGAAATAGAGATGAGTGGCGCTTGCTCCACCGACAAGGGATTGGCTCTTCAATTAAGAGAGAGAGAGAGAGATAAAATTACTTACAAGTACATATATACCTAAAATGCTTTAAAACCTGAACGTATACTTCTCGTAATTTTTTTTATTCATAAGATAGTCGAAAACTTGATTGCTACATAGTTAAATAAATTGTTACCGTTAAAAAGAATGCTTCCTAGTGGTGACAATTTGATCATTGTTTTTTCGTAAGTCTTTGTCTTACATTTTTTTTGTAGTGAGCGTACGATTTCGTACATTGTTCGTAAATTTTTTTGATGTGAGCCTGAAATCCATACGAGCGTATGACACGTTCAAATGACACTAACAACTCAAGCGTTTCTAAAACCTGCACACACAAATATTTCAGTATTATAGTAGGGGACCCCATGGTGCTAAATGGGATTTACTCGAGCGTCATGGGGACCTATTGCATTTGAAAGATTATGTAACAGAATGAATAAAAGTCATATAATGCTTCCACTTTCAGCGGCGGGAAAAGCTTCTACAGGTTTTCAAAAATGTAAGGGGAGAAAATTGAAAAAAATATATTCGGGCGCATCAGATATTTTGGGGATATGTTATTTAAACTCCAGCTAAATTTATAAAAGCTTGATGTTCCTGTCATACTAGCCAAAAATCTGACGATAATTTTCTCAACTCAAGGTACTCAACTGGGTGTAAGGTATTCCGCCTATCTTAATCTGACACGCTCAAGTAAATCCCGAAATCCCTTCTAGGGTTCCCCTACTATTATTCTTACGTTAATGAGGAAACGCTAGTATGTACTAAGTTAATAACATATGGTTTGTAAATAAACCCTTATTCAAAAAAAACCTAAACGTTTAAATTACTTCTATATTTTTTAAAAGTTTCGATTGTAATTAACACACTTTTATTAGCTTCATCTGTATGATATGTAATGTAATGGCATGTTTTAACGTCATTTTCATACACTTCAACGTGAAAGAATGATGATGAAATGAATACCTAGAATATCTAGGATCGATGACAATGCAATCATTTAATAAGTTTGCCGATTATCCTCCATATTTGAAAACACGGTAGTCTTGTGCTATATACGAAGGCGTGTACTGCGAGTATTGTAAACGACACCCCAGGGGTGTGGTTCAGTGGTGTTTACGTTTACAATTTTTTTATTAACGACACCGCCGCTGACTATTGGTGTATTACGTGAAATAAAACAATTTGTTACGTGTTAATTTTAATGATGATATGATGATGATGATTTCTCTTCACTATTTTATAGACTAATCTGCCACTATTCCTATACCTTCCAGTAGAAGATCGATCGTCATCATCAGACAACTTTAAAATTGATGTGGTGTAATGAAACAACGTGATAAAATGATACTCAGATTCTAACTACAATCACTCGTATACTAGAAAGTTCGTACGAGCGCACTCGGTCCGAGCCAGCTTGTAACGTACAAATGTGGCTTTACAAAGTTAAAAAAAATTGGATAAAAGGAAACTTATAAATTTATTTTATTAGAAACATCACACTTTTTAATGACTTTAGATCTGTATTAAGACCTATATCAATTCTCTTTTTCCACACAGGCTGGTATCTGGATTTGTTTACAAAAACGACATATTAAGCCCATTGTAATATGGTAATGTTATGGCTGTTAGTCCGTGTGGTGACGGATTAAGAATACAGATTGTCACCACCTCTATTCATCCCGTGGGTGTTGTAAGAGTCAACTAAGGGAAAAAACTACGCAGAACAACAACACTGCACAGAGAAGGAAAACTTGACACAAACCCTATACCAACCCGTCTGGCCAGCGTGGTATAGTAGGCCAAAACCTCCTTTCTAAGGAGAGGCTTATGTCCAGCAGTGGACTATTAAAGGCTGTTGAGGATGATGATGATGATGTTATAGCAAAAGTGTTAGTTCTGATTGAATTTTCAAATACCTTTAATACCGTCAGTCATGATATTCTACTATCTACCTTCTCCTATCCCATGATCTCGCCTAAAGCAATAGAATAGTTTTCTTCTTATCGCCAGCATGTCATTGGCATTGACTACCTCTCCTTGGGCTGTTGTGATGTTGACTTGGATGTCCCTCAAGGCGATTCCTTATTTATTAAGCTTTCTTGAACTTCGAAAGTGTGTATCTTCTGTATGCTGATGATCTGGAACTGACAACTGACACTAATAATCGGCTGTCACCGTGCGATACGATTTTGAGATATTTCCGAAAATAATTGAACGCCTATTTGTCGATCCGTGAAGGACCTAAGCTTACAACACGATTCTACATTAAACGGACGATTAATTATCTAATACATGTATGTCAAATACTTATCGGAATATTCAGAGCCTTATATGGCATATAATAAATACTGCTCCAAGTTTCATTTTCAGGTCAAGGGATGATCCCGACAAAGGACAAATAATTGTGACTAAATAAAACCTCCAAAATACAAAATATTTTTTTTATAAAAATAGGCATAGGCGTAGAATAAAGTTTAATTTTTCATGTGCCATTCAACGATTTGACGTAGGCGCCTCCATAAGCGTTCACGTAGTACTGAGTTCGAACGACCAACAAAACATATAATTTATGTTATTTTAGAAGTTTTCATTACATTTTTTTTGTAAAAATAATGTAATAAAACTTTTTTTTATCTGTAGTACAGTTCAGTTGTCTGGTCAACCAAATTACGGAAAATATTTATTTGCCGTGGTTATACGATTTAAAAACACAATTTCAGTGTAGACACTGAAACACATAGTATTTTACGTAGTCCGGTTGCCTTGTTTATGGGAATAATCGTAATAGACAAATGCTACTGTGGTTCTGGGTTCCAGGGAAACGTTCATTTAATATTACTAAAATGATACCAGGGGTTGTGGGTGGGCAACATGTTTTAACATTTTTTTAATCATAACGAAAATCTAATCATAACAAATTTCTCATTCACGACTCGTTACGCTATGGACCCAGCATCGGCTCAACTGAATGTTTAACCTGGTTATATGAGGTTTTAGGCTATAAAGAACTTAAAGTTATTTAATATTCGCTAGTTTTTCTAAAGCATGGCATAAAACAATTTCTACGTTAATATACTGCAAGAATATGCCTTATTGCATCGTCTTTTATTACATTATTCTTCATCCGGTTCTTAAATTTATACATTTAATGATGTTTTTATAAAATTTAATCAAAAAGGTTATCTATGTAGTATAAGCACTAGATCTTCCGTGGTCCGGTCAACAGGAGTATAGGTAAAAAAATGTTCCATAGTCAGGTAACTGTACCATGGATTTTTTTTCCATAGTCCGGTTGACCGGACAACTGAACCGTACTATGGATAAAAAGTCATAAAAGCGTATTTAAAACGAGAAATGTGTAACTGTTACGGAGCGTTTTTAGTGGTTTTTGTGTTTTTTTACAATATTTGTTTAAAAAAAAATGAGGTTGCTATGAACTATATTACCATATAAGGAGCATTGTTATATTTTTTGTATGTCATTTGCGGTGCTGTCGTTAAATGTATAGGCTCAAAAAGTATCACCGTGCTAAGAACGAAAACATTGCTTCAGAATTTTGACTTTGTCTACGTAATTATAACATTATGTACGGGTGGCGCAGTGGTTTAAGCGGTCGCCACGCCGCACTACGCTGAGTGTTGTGGGTCCGATCCCCACATGGGACGACACTTTGTGTGATCTACAAATTGTTGTGTCCTTTGTGTCCGTTACATGTATGTTTGTAAAGTCCCCCGCGAAACAGGATTTATTCCTAGTTCGGGAGTAGTCTTTAGGAAAGGAGCCGCAGTGGTGCATACTCATAACTGTTCTATATTTTTTCAAAAGTATGAAGTTATTGAAGTTTTATAGTTGCTCAGAATAAAAACGCCAAAGTTGACCGTTTTATGTAAAAACCACGTTTGAAATGCTAATTCGTTTCAACCGTGATTTTTGAACTATTGAACTTTATAATATTTTATTTAATGATAAGATGACATGTAAGTATGTCTCACATAGTTATTTATATGTATGTGCATAAGACGATATTCATATATGTACATATATTTATATAAATATTTGTGTATATTACTACGTTTATATGTCTATTGTACGGTTTAATTTTAGTTGTTATTTAAAATTTTCAATTACCTAGTTTCTTAAGCGCACCACCTACCTTTGTCTGTGTAGCAGAATTAGTTGACTGGTAGACAATGCCTCAGGCATTAAGTTCGCCGATGTATCAATTTGTGCATAAAATTTAACAAATATGCTTAAATAAATTAATAAAATATGGTTTATGTATTTTTTACATCTAAAAAGCAAAAGTCATCCGAACATTTGCTTAAATGAGTCGATTCACCAATTTATAGATTTAAGCTAATCATTTTGATAAAGAATCGTTAAGCTAACACGGAATCCTAATAAACATAGATATTAAATAGTGATAAATGTACACTGTGTGAAGTTATCTTTATGAGTGTTATCTATCGCTCACTATTAACACCAAGTCGAACAGTATATAACTTAGTATTATTTGCTAGCGTTCAGATGAAAAAGTTTTACATTTTTTCCATAAATAATTAATATTTAAAAAAAAAGACAATAAATAATTAACCGATAAGTGAAACAAGAAGTCAATATGATAAAAACTGAAAATGGAACGGGAAATATTGGAAAAAGTAAAAAGAGATATAGTCCTAATATCTTTTCGCGGCTTTTCTTCTGGTGGATGTGTCCCGTGCTTGTCACCGGTAATAGAAGAGACGTAGAAGAAAAAGATCTTATTGTGCCTAATAAGCATTATGATTCTGAAAGGCAAGGAGACTATTTTGAAAGGTAAGAACCGTGAAATTATATTGTTTACTCCGATTAATGCAGACTTTACATAATATTTAATTGTTCACAAATGAAACAAAGAAATACAGTTTTTTTTAATAAAATATAAATTAATAATTTATTTGTTCTACTTGCTTTACTTTACTTACTTGCTACTTTACTTTAAATATATATTATTTTATATATTACAGCACATTCTAAATTTAGATTAATAGTTTCTTAGTTTGTTAAAAAAAACGAATTTAAAAGGTTTGTTAACTGATAACTAAACGAACAAACAAGAAAGTCCTATAAGACAGTCCAAACTAATATAATGAATCTGAAGAGTTTTTATTTTAATTGGTTTTTGTTATGCACTAACTTGTGGCAAATTTAGATAATAGTTCCGTATTCTTATATAAGTCAGGGTATACCTTGAAGTAGGTTGTACACTCTTCACGCCACTACAGTTAGGACTCCATATGTATGTACTTTAAACAGTGCAGGCTAGCATCTTAGAGTACCAAAAGGTGTTATAAAACTAAGTATTCAAGTAACTTTGTACTTTAAAGAGGCTGTTGTATGTTAATAGCAAATAAAGAATGCAATAACATATAAGTAGAGTCCATAGGATTCGTTTAAATATCGATCAGTATCTACAAAGGACGATAATTTTTTTTAGTTCGCGATAGTATTGGTTGCATCAAAGTCGACTAGCTCCTTATCAAGTATGTCAAACAATAACATAAATTGACGAAATTGTAATAATTATTTTTTATTTTTTACGTAGTTTCTCTAAAGATAGGTATTAGAGTTTATTACGAGTAAGGTATGTGATTCAGAAGACTTGAATTTATTTCTCATTGCATATTGACATTCATTCAGCCTGCAGAGTCAATTATGGCATTCACTTAGGACGTTACTTTGACTATAATCAGTGTTTCAGCTTATCTTCTGATAATAGTTTGAGTCAGCGAGAAGCACTGTTTAGCATTTTTATAAATAATAGGTTGTGCTTATTACTCCAAAGCATGATGATACACAGCCGCCTTTTTCATTCCACCCCCAAATCAAGCGAAAGGGGCTTGGCTACGGTAATCTCACTAACTAGGTGAAAATCAACGAAAGAATTTTCTCTAAGCCGCTGTTATCTTTCTGGTAGAACCGGGTCATATGTGCCGAAGTACGGCTCACTCGCACTTTGGATTTCTGTCCTTCCTATGAATGACCTTTGGATTTCCTTTACTTCAAAAGGGAGTACCATAATTCGATACTATAGAGAACTCAATCACACCTATAACCTCTTATAAAGATTTGAAATTGCATCGTTTTTAAACTTTTCTCAACAGAATAAACAACTTTTCACCAAAAACAACCAATAACTAGGTTTTTTACGTAATCTGGTTGCTGTTTACTAGTTGCTGGCCTGTCAAGATTTTTTTTCCTTTGTTCTCATAATATTACATTGGTAAAATATTATATTCGCAAATGATTACATTCCCAAAATATTACACAACGTAAAATCATAGACTAAGATTGAGACAAAATAATAAAATAAATCTAATAATGATTTTGCTATCACCCAGTAACAATCTTTAATTAAGACAGTAACAATCTCTGTAAGTTTCCATTAGAAATATCAGCATTATTATGGAAGGTTGTATTTGATAGAAATTGGTATTTGTATCCCGGAGTGAAGCGAACTGATGAATGAATACAAAATATAATATTCTTATACGAAGCCTAACTCGAGGCGTTGAGCTCGATAATCGATTGTGGCATAATAACAATTCTATATTTTTCAGGAAATTAACAAATAGAGTGCAATTTCAGTAGGTATGTTCAAAAAGTTTGAAAACAATGTACTCCATTGATCAATCACGTTTCCTACTCATGCATGTTTGTCCACCTTTCAGTTTATTAGGTTTCTTCAACTGCACAAATATTTGTACAAGCCCCGTAGGCTCACTTATGAAAGTACTATGTTTGTGCATCTCTGGATTCACGTATTTAAACGTTGTCTTTTACTTATAGTCGCATATTTAAAGGTTCATTTAGTTAATGTATGCTGCATAAACTGTTCTATTATACCACTAGTTATGTACATATATATATATATAACAACTAGTTAAGTATCTATATATCTAGAATCAATTTTGTTGGCAAAATCGTATTATGTATCTACTTTGATTAATAATTAAAGTTATATTTTAGTAAACTAATGTTTCTAAGGCGAAAGTTGTTAGCAATACAACATCAAATAAATTGTCTGGGCCCTTAAGATGTGCCCTAGCGGCTCCTGTAATTGAATTACTGAGTAGTTTGTTAACTCCAAATCCAAGTTATAAGTGTTCAAAAAAACGAATAAGCGCTTAGAGAAAAGGTAGGTAGCGTTCTTGTGCCGTCGTTGTGCCCCCAGATCCTCGTAATGTAGGTATTTTTTCTAGGATCTCGTGTTATGTTTTAAATCTTTTTCATGTATGTCTACAATAGTTTTATTGCATACAGTATTTTTTAAGTCTCATTTATGTATTTTACTCTACGCTAAACAGACCACATTTGAACGTCAAAGATTCAAATAGTTGTTATCATACGTAAGCAAACAAAATGGCATACCAAAGTGTTAATTGGAGTCAATTAAATAAAGCTACATACACGTGCTACTAAAATCACAAATAATAAAATTAATTAATCACAGGCCAATAAAAAAATTCCCAAAAACAAAAGTATACTTTTTAGTAGGATTTTGGTGCGCTGAATTTAAATCCGGGAGCAGAATTGCTTTATCACGTCAGGTTTTTGAGATATTCGAAACATTACATAAACATAAAGGCCATTTTTGACCATTTTTGACCATACATGTTCTGATAACTCTTCAAATTTATTATGCCTAAACGCCTAATGCCTAGTGCCTAGTGCTAGTTAAAGTTCAAGTCTTCAGTTTTCAAATGATGAGTTTGCTTAAATATCATATTTTTTTTCGCCTCAGAACCAATCAAATACTGACGACCCCGAGTTCAGCTAAGCAAATCTTTAACTGAACTACAAGCCTTAAAACTAAGCAAACCCTGTTCACTACTATCTCAGCGAAAAAAAAAAAATTTAACAAACTCAAAGTCATTTGAAAGATGAACACTTGCACTTTCAGATACTCCGTGTACTTTTTTAGGCATAATAAAATTTGAAGGGTTACATAACCTCAAAACCAACCTGCGTTTTTTGCACTTTTAGATTAGAATATCTCAAAAACCTGACGTGCTAGAGCAATTCTATATGGATTCAGCGCACCAAAATCCTTCGGGAAAATATACTCTGGTTTCTGGGGAAGAAACTTTGTCAAATTTTGTTGGCCTGTGTTATGAATAAAACAGTTATTTAGGGCGGTAGTACTATGGTAAATCACAGTACTACTGCCGTAAATAACTCTCTGTCAGGGACAATTAGTAATATTAAGTTTCTTTGCAGATACTGGTTCAATGAACTAGATAGAGCTACAAAAGAGAACAGGGAACCATCGCTGGGGAAGGCCATGACCAGAGCATACTGGTTAGCTTACATGCCAGGTGCCCTTTACGTCATCGTGATTACCGCGATGAGGTTGGTGTAACTTTAAGCTTATGTTTTTTATGCAATCCTCGAGTCACAAAACATTATTTTTACACAAATAGGTTACCTACGTTATTTTTACGTAATTTGTGACTGCTTAAACCACTATGCCATCCGTGCAGTCGTCCTATTTGTAACATATTTGTATTTGTTTTATTTTTATTTTTATTTCCTAGCAAGCAATCCTAGCCTATCCTAATTCTTTACACATTGAGACCCTATGTCTCGGAGAGCACGTTAAGCCGTCTGCCCCGGTTGCTATACGAATGTTTCTGGCAGTCGTTACGGGTAGTTGGAGCCCCTAAAAAGTCTGACAACAGTTTTTATACAGAACTTCGAAATCGCTTAGTATTAGGGTTGTGGAAGTCCAATGGTAAGTCTTTACCTATGAAGTTGGAGATTTTTAAAACCAGCATTTTCCGATTTAATTATCAGTAGATTGGCGAACAATTCAAAATTCAAATAAATGTCATTCAAAAGTTATGGTATTTTTATTTAAAATTCAGTAATTTGTTATAAAAAAGTTTTTTTTTTAAATTGTGATAGTTTTTGGTAGTGTAGTGGTGTAGGTAAAGTGTCGTCACATGTGGGGTTCGGACCCACAGCACTCGGCGTAGTGGTTTGGTAACGATATTCGACAACGACGTAATAAAGGCGATAGTGGCAGCGAATCCGACTCAATCTACGGATGAGCTTGATGTGGGCTTTGGAGTTAGTGCCAAAACAACATTGAAGCACTTGCGTCAAATCGGAAAGATAAAAAGCTACATAAATGGGTGTCACACGAACTAAGTGACCATCGGCAAGATTTACGCGTAGAATATGTAGTAGTAGTAGTATGCATAGCACTACTGAATCGGTATACAAACCAGGGAATTCGGCACCAAATCGTTACCTGCGATGGAAAGTGGACCCTGTACGACAACCGTAAGCGTTTTTCACACTGCGTAGATCCGAGCTAAAAAAAGATTACCCATAGTAAGATGATGGTGACTGTCTGATGGACCAGAGCAGACTAGACCAGACTTTTACATCACAGCACAGTGACAGCAGATGTCTATTGCCAAGAATTGTATACAAAAATGGACTAAACTACAAGACAACAGCACTGCAAAGAGAAGGAAAACTTGAAACAAACCCTTTTTCTTTTTTACGTGTGGAAATCCCATCGGACCGTCACCCCGCCGGGGTTCTCTATTCGGCGGGGCGGTGTGTCCCTGTGTGTGTCCTCCCAGCGCCGGCCCACTCCTGGTGCGGGCTGCGTCTCAAATCTTCCTCTCTTTAGGCAACGTCCGGCACACGCGGACGCCGCCCCCTCGCGGCTGGCGAAACTAATGCGGGTGGAGGGAAAACCCATCCCGTCCACCCGCGGCCACACTCAGCGGCGCAGGTAAGCGCACCTCCGCCGCCCGGTTCGCCGGCGGCGGATCGGGTCCGAGTGGAAGTCGTCCTCCCGGGCCTTCTCCGCCGCCTCCTTCTGCGAGATTACTTCCTCGCAGAAGGTTGCGACCGCGGTAAAACAACTGTCGCTACCGGCCATGGAGCGTACTACGGCCAGTAGCGAGAGATCCACTCCGATGACTGCAGTGAGGGCCCGGCGCTGTGTCGCCCATGCTGGGCAGACCGCCAGCGTGTGCTGGGCCGAGTCCTCACTGCAGTCGCAGTGGTGGCAGGCGGGACTCAATTCCCTCCTGGCGACCGAGTGCAGGTACTTTCCGAAGCAACCGTGCCCGGAAAGCACCTGCGTCAGCCGGAAGGAAAGGGTCCCATGTTGCCGCCCTGCCCACTCGGCGAAGCCAGCGCGTGGAGTCTCCAGCCGGCTTCGCGCCGGGTGGAGGGCGAAATCCGCTCTCCGCCCGGAAGTCAGCCACTCGCCGATAGACTTCGGCGAGCACTTCCGCTTCCAAATCCCACGGGGTGTTCCGGCCAAGGCGCAAGCCGCCTCGGTGGACACCGTGCGGTCTCCGCGTATGGCTCTGACCGCCAATATCCTCTGGAGACGCCAGAGGCGCGCCCTATTCTGGGTGGTCAGAGCCGCTACCCACACCGGTGCACCATACAGCGCCATGGACCGGACAACCCCCGCGTACAGCCGCCTCGTGGGAACACTGGCCCCGCCCAAATTGGGCAAAAGTCGCCCTAGGGCGGAGGCAGTGTCCACCAACTTTGGACCAAGCTGTCGGAAGTGCTCGTCGAAGAGCCACCTACCGTCCAGGACCAGACCCAGGTACCTCATCTGGGCCCGTACCGGTACGAGGACCGAGCTGACCTCGATTGAGGCGCCGGCGGGTGGACCACGACGGGGCCCATTGAATAGTAGGGCCTCCGTCTTATCCAGGGCCACCCGTAAACCCAACGCCTCAATGCGCCCGACCACCAGGAAAACTCCCGTGGCGGCCAGGGCCGCCTCCTCCAAGTTAGTTAGCCCCGGGCCGTAACTAACGTGTCATCCGCGTAGCAGATTACACCCAGCCCGGGGGGGTAGACGCCCTCGCAGAAACTTGAAACAAACCCTATACCAACCCGTCTGGCCAGCGTGGTATAGTAGGCCAAAACCTCCTTTCTAAGGAGAGGCCTATGTCCAGCAGTGGACTATTGTAGGCTGTTGATTGATTAATTGTATACAAGAACGGAGAAGCTCTCAATTTAACAAATACGACTGGTCAATCGCTGCTCTTCCCCATTGCTTCTTCACGAAAATGTGCGAGCTCACACGACGCTTCACGACAGACCATTGCAAAGCTACAAAAATATACAACATTTTTAAATTTATGCATATTTCCAACTTCATAGGTGATATTATTGATTACATTGATTATAATATATATTTTATGTTGACTAGTGTGACTAGCTGTGACACTTACTAATTAACTTTAGTACTATCTATAAATTTATGATTTAATTAATGGTGCTGTGCTGTGCCGACTTGTGTCTGAGGGCTGAGACCAAAGATTTAGTGTACAGTGGTAGCATGTTGTTGACGATGTTATTGGACAACGCGCCAAACAAAAAGGGGAAGGGCGCCAACTTGTGACTCTTGAGATGCAGATATGTATGGGTGGTGGTATTCACTTACCGTGCGTCGTGATCCATCTGCATGCGTTCTCCCTATACCATAAAAAAGTTTCAACGATCTTGGCAATAAATTTAAAGTGTAACAACAAGTTGTCTGTGTTTTCTTCTATGTTTATTTCAAGATCATAGTTTATCAGTTTATTTCTTCTCTTGTGCAGGATTTAAGTAAGATTAAGGAGCATTTTCAACAGTTTTTTTTTACTAGAATAGGAACTTCACCTCAATACTATGTACAACTTAAGATTCGATTTCGAGACATAGCGGTATCAAGTCCTTATTCATTATATTAAATCCTGTTTTAATATTAGTAGGTATATCTTTATCACAATTCATCATGACGACACATATTATAAATTTAATTTTATGAATAAGCAATAAAATGATACGACATTTTTTTCTTATCATCAAGCGTTAACGAAACATGTGTTAAAATTTCTACATATTGTTTACCTGCTAGCATCATATATTTAACATGTGGTTGGTATGGAAGTAGGTAGCTTTAAATTACTTTCGCTCAACTTCTAGGGTGCTATAGAATTAGAAGGATGGGGGACACCGTGGTGCTCACACACGAAGGGGCCATTTGTAAGCCGTAGGTGGCTCGAGGTCCGTCGGGGTTTAAATTCCTAGGTTACACCTGGTTCCCCGGCTACTGTTACCCGAATCGGCGTGTAGTTTTTAGTCGGTTCGAGTCCGGAACCTACCGGTGGCGTGATCATATGATCACGCCACCGGTAGTTTTATGAATAAGCAATAAATTGATACTCCATTTTTTCTTAACATTAAGCGATAACGAAATATGTGTTAAGATTCCTACATATTGTTTGTTTTTAACAAAATAAATGTCAAGTTTAAAAGTATTTAACTAAGGCACTATAAAAGGAAGGGGGAACACCGTGGTCTGAACTCACTGGCGATGGGGCCATTTATAAGCCATAGATGGCCGTGGTCCACCATTGTACCAGGAATTTCCTTTCTATGCTGTAATTGGTTCCTCAGCTACTGGTACTCGAGACGGCGTACGGTTTTTAGTCGGTTCGAGTCCAATATAATTACTGTGGTGGGAGTCCACCGGTCTAGCGGTGGAGTAATTATATATTATTATATATCCGAAGGGATTTATGCAAAAAAGGGTGTTAAGGAATATTGTCTGATCGAGTAATAATGCTAGTTTTCCCTGATAGCTAATAAGAGATACAGCTAGGATTGCCTTTGGGAATATTTAACAAATGATTATTAGTAAAAATCTAACAGATTCCCTACAAGGAAATTGACATGAATTCCATGCTACAAAAATACACCGAAGAGTGCACATCTTGCTTGTATTTATTCGTTAAAGAAGGCTAAAATCTGAAGAGTCAAGTTTCATCAAGTCAACGTCATTGATGTGATTATGATAATTCAAAAATAATTTTATTTTCAACCTACGCGAAACTCAACGACTGTTCATCATCAGCCTATCGCAGTCCACTGCTGGACATAGGCCTCTCCCATTGCACGCCACTTAGATCGATTTTGGGCTTCTTGCATCCAGCTCCTGCCAGCCATCTTGCGCAAATCGTCACTCCACCTGGTCTGTGGGCGTCCTACACTACGTTTACCGAGACGCGGTCTCCACTCAAGAACTCGTTTTCCACAACGGTTGTCGGTTCTGCGGCTAATATGGCCAGCCCACATCCACTTCAGCTTGCTGATCCGGTAGGCTATGTCGGTGACCTTGGTTCTCTGCCGGATCACCTCATTTCTGATGCGATCCCTTACAGAAACGCCGAGCATAGCCCTTTCCATAGCACGTTGAGCGACTTTGAACTTGTGGAACAGCCGTACCGTAAGTGTCCACGTTTCAGCTCCGTATGTCATGACGGGTAGGACGCACTCATTAAAGACTGTCGTCTTAAGGCACTGTGGGATCGACGATGAGAAGACTCGACGTAGCTTCCCAAGCGCTGCCCAACCCAACCGAATTCTTCTGTTCACCTCGTCCTCGAAGTTGTTTCTACCTAACTGCAATGTTTGCCCGAGGTACACATAATTTTTAACATCTTCGAGAACGGCACCGTGTACCGCAATCGGTTCCGGTAGTAAATGTTCGTTGAACATGACCTTGGTTTTATCAAAGTTCATCCGTAGGCCGATGCGTACAGAAGTGTCAGCTAGGTCATTCAGCATTTGCTGCAGGTCCTGCAACGTCTCTGCCATGATGACGATGTCGTCTGCAAATCGCAAGTGAGAGATGTATTCGCCATTGATATTGATGCCACGCCCTTTCCAGTGCAGCGTCTTGAACATGTCCTCCATTGCATTTGTGAACAATTTCGGGGAAATAACGTCCCCTTGTCTCACTCCTCGATGCAATGGTACGGGCCTTGTTTGCTGATTCCGAACTTGGACGGACATGGTGGCGGCTTTGTAGAGACATCTCATCACTTGGATGTATCGCCAATCTACTTGGCAACGTTGCAGGGACTCCAGAACAGACCAGATCTCGATCTTCAAAGGCTTTCTCAAAGTCCACGAATGCTAGACACAGGGGCTGATTATATTCTTCGGTCTATTGTATAATCTGCCGCACTGTGTGGATGTGGTCTATGGTGCCATATCCGCTCCGAAACCCAGCTTGCTCCGGTGGTTGGAATTCGTCGAGTCTTTGCGCAAGACGGTTCGTGATGACTCTCGAAAACAGCTTGTAGATGTGGCTTAGAAGGGATATGGGTCGATAGTTCTTCAACCTGGTCTTGTCACCCTTTTTGAAGAACACGACGACCACACTCCTACTCCACGCTTCCGGAGTTCGCTGTTTAATGTTCACTGGTTTAATGTTTTGAAAGGTACAACGACTGTTGTACCTTTCAAAACATTAATTAAAACAGCTTGTAGATGTGGCTTAGAAGGGATATGGGTCGATAGTTCTTCAACCTGGTCTTGTCACCCTTTTTGAAGAACACGACGACCACACTCCTACTCCACGCTTCCGGAGTTCGCTGTTTAATGTTCACTGGTTTAATGTTTTGAAAGGTACAACGACTGTTGTACCTTTCAAAACATTAAACAGTTTATTAATAAATGAATAATACCTTTGTTAAAAATAAATTTGTCTTGAAAAAGTATTAATCTTTATCCCTATGGCATAACTATATGATTACAAATTTAGGTTTCATAATCTTAAAACTATCACACTTCTTATACATTTCTTCGCTTGCAGACACACATACTTACACATAAAGGTACACACGCATCCAGTCGCCCAGGGACAGGTATTCAGGTACACATAAAAAAAATAGTTTGAAAAAATTACAATACTTTCCATAGTAAGTGTGCCCAAAGATGGAGGTGGTGGTCCTGTAAGTTGAAAAACAAGTAGTTCAACATCACAAATTGCCTTCAGATCCAGAAACATTCAACAACTACATACTGTGTGTGAATGTATGTCTTACAGTGAAATAAACATTCGGTCATTCAAATATTTATTTATATTTATAGATTTTAGAGGATGATTTTAGCAATGAAGATAAAAGGAAAACTATTTTTTTTTCTTTCACAGGACTTCTCAGCCAATTTTATTCGCGCAACTGCTATCCTTTTGGTCAGTGGATAGTCCTATGAGTCGCTTAGACGCAGGGCTGTATGCATTTGCTATGTTGGGTATCAATTTCTTCAGCATGTTACTCCAACACCACAACTCAATTTTCGTGTCCCGCTTCAGTTTAAAGGTTAAAGTTGCATGCTCATCTTTATTATATAGAAAGGTGAGTAACAAAATATCATTTTGTAATATTTGTATCTTTGCAATTGATGAGAGAATATTGACGATGATGGTTTTACCATACCATAGAAGTTTAATCTTATATTTGACTCAAAAATGGACAATCCCTTGTCGTTTTTGAGACTTGACTGGTTTTAGTAATGTGTATTTATCGAGGTTTCGTTTGTGTGTCAGTCAAGGACTTGATGACAATGGCGTGACAGTGCGTGCGTCTATCGAGGATAGACCAAGCCAGTCAGATTTATTTTACACATTTACTAAATGTTACTAACGACAAATATTCTGGTGGTTTTGATAATAAATGTGTGCAGCATTGAAGATAAATATTTTACTTAATAATTGTGTACGTATTTTCGTCTATTAATTTTTCAACACACTTTAAACCATTCCTAAAAATATCTATCACATTTGAACACATTTTTACTACGAATATTTGAGTTTATTATGAAAGTAAGTAAAAGTTTAACAAAATGTAAATGTAGGTATTAGATATAGATAGTCAGGGCCTGTGTGAAAAAAAAAAAAAGTCTCCTTCGTCCAAACAGACTAAAGAGTAGCAGGTTAATGAAAAAACTAAAGTTTTAATTTGATAACAACAAAACAGTTTCGTTTATGAAATTTACATTTAAAGAGAAACAAGTTACAAATAACAGTTTACTAATTGCATGTTGTATCGGTTTTATGTTTCAACAGTATACAAAGTTGTATGCAATGGACAAACATTTCATTTAGTTTTACTGGTTCTGTCCTAGTTGCTGCGTATTAGTCAAGTGTCAGTGGGCGAGGTTGCTGGCGGCAAGTTGGTGAACCTTCTATCCAACGACATCGCGAGGTTCGACTACGCGTTCATGTTTTTACATTATTTGTGGATAGTGCCTATACAGGCTGCCGTGGTACTCTACTTGCTATATATAACTGCTGGATATGCTCCATTCGTGGGATTATTTAGCGTCGTGCTATTCATTCTTCCTCTTCAAGGTAAATTTAAATCAATATCTTTCTGTCTATGTCCAAATTATTTAGGATTGTCTTTATATGGCTTTTGCTTTCACGTACTATCAGCCATCACTCACCATTCATCTTCTATAGATATGCCTACATTCTTGAACATGACCATGTAATAAAAATATGTGCTTATAATTTTTTTCATTACATTTAGGTCTCACTACTACGGTCAAACTTAGAGACAAATATAAGGTCCGAAAATCAAACATTTTAAGCAATGGCAAACTTCCACTTAACATTTTGTTTCAAAATTCAACATAATGTGTAACTTTGTTTTTGCTAATAACTTTACAGCCGGTTTAACAAAGCTCACTAGTGTTATAAGACGTCAAACTGCTCAAAGGACTGATAAGCGCATTAAGTTGATGGCTGAAATTATTAAGGGAATACAGGTAAATATCTTACACGTTAATCGTCAGCGTTATATTCTTAGCTGTCACTCAATTTTGAAGTCTAAGTCTGATGTTAAAATGTTCTTTCTTTTTATTAGTTAGATATAGAAATCAAAACGTTAAGTATACATATTCTTTAGCAGAAAGTAATAGAACTACACAACGATAAAAACACTTTATGATCACGATAGCTGAATTTTATTCTACAGCTTGTTGTTGTCGTGCATTTGTAATAACAACTATTATTACTATATTAAGTGTTAACGTCACAGAGTCGGCCAAACAAAGTTAGTCAAACTTACAAAGTTAATAAATGTTGTATTCCTTCATTTTCACTACAGGTTCTCAAGATGTACGCTTGGGAGAAGCCATTCCAAGCAGTGGTTAAAGCAGCTCGTGCGTACGAAATGCGCGCCCTCTGGAGATCTGTCTTCATTCGCAGTACATTCCTCAATTTTATGTTGTTTACCGAAAGGTCCATACTATTTATTACCATATTGACTCTTATATTGACGGACAACATGATCACAGCAGAAACGGTGAATACTGTTCTTGATATACATAGTTGTAGAATCGTGAATGTTAACGTGTGAGGTTACCGTATGCCCAACCCTCACCCCTCTTACTTTCGGGACACCACTCTAATGATGGTGAAGAAGAAAGAAGATGCAGCGTCCGTAGGCGCGTCAGTTACCATCAGATGGCCTGTCCATTCCATAAAAATATCGATGAATCCAATACCTAAGATAAACCCTGAATATTTGTATTTGCAATTTAGATTGCTAAGACTGTAAAATTTAGAGCTCTTTTCACTTCTCTAAATAGGATCTTATCTAAATAGGATTTTACAGTTACAGTTCCAAAACTGTACACCTAATTAAAATATTACCATTATGTTATGTAAGCTTTCTTCGTCAAAGCTACTAGAATAATAATTTAAAAGTACATGTACTTTTTAAAATACTTGGACGAAGTTTTGATAGCTTTTGAAACATCACGCTCCAAGGCAATGAATTATACATAAAGTAAGAGTGTTAATTAGAAACACTGTGAGTCTAAATGGATACAGAAGATAATCATATAACAGTCTATTTGCTTGCTTTATTTACTCTTATAATTACAATTTTTGTTAAATTTCAGATTTATCCCATTCAACAATACTTTGGAATAATTCAAATGAACGTAACACTGATATTACCGATGGCTATTGCGAGTTTATCTGAGATGTTGGTCTCTTTAGAGCGTATCCAGGAATTTCTCATGTTGGGTAAATATTGCATACACACACATATTGCAACCCTACCCAACCCGTCAGAACAGCGTGGGATAGTAGGCCAAAATCTCCTCTCTAAGGAGAGGCATATGTCCAGCAGTGGACTACTGAAGGCTGTTGATGATGATGATGATTACAATTTTAATTTTATCAGCTGCTGACCCGAGAACAGTATTATGATGTACATTTTATGATGGTATTCACCTATTATCTAGCCCAGTCAGTCTAGTTATTGTCTGCATTAACAAAAATAAATACGAAAAACGGGTACACTACATAAATACGAATTTCAAAATTCCTAATATAAGAACTCCGAATGGATCATTCATCTTATTTTTATTATTCAAAAATTTCAAAATTCCTAACGTTTATAATTACTATGCTCAAAGTATCGTGTTTAATAGATCGAATAACAAAAAGTCCGACTTAATGATGATACCATACATAAAAAAATCGAATTCTTTCTGTTTTTTTTCGAATAAAAATATTTTCTTTCTCTGGTCACAGTTCTAATTTATCCCAAATGATTCACCAACAATAGAGGAAATGTGGCGCTCAGCGGCTGGCCTTCGCGCTTTAATGGTCACAGTTCTTTTTTTTTCTTTTTTACGTGTGAAACCGGGGTATGCGGCGGGGTGGTGTGTCGGAATCGGACTGACTAAAACCACACGGTGTGCTACTCTGCGCCTCTAATAGGAGGGATCCGGGATTGTGCGGGCACCACCTTCGGGTACAATCTCTATTTAGGTGACGTCCGGCACACGCGGACGTCACCTCCTCGCGGCTGGCCATTATGGTGGGTGGAGGGGAAAACCCGTCCCGTCCACACGCAGCCACACACACACACAGCATGAGGCGCTCGTAAGTGCGCCTCCGCCGCCTGGTTCGCCGGCGGCGAATTGGGTCCGAGTGGAGGTCATCCTCCCGGGCCCTCCTCCTTCTGCGAGATGACGTCTTTACAGAAGGATGCGACTGCGGTAAAATATCTGTCACTACCGGCCATGGAGCGAATGACGGCCGGTAGAGAGACGTCACAGTTCTAGCCTTTTTTTTTTTACGTGTGGAAATCCCCTCGGACCGTCACCCCACCGGGGTTTGCGGCGGGGTGGTGTGTCGGACTCGGACCGACTAAAACCACACGGTGTGCCACTCTGCGCCTGTAATAGGAGGGATCCGGGAACAGCTGTTATTAAGACATCCGGACCCCTCCTAGCGCCGGCCCGCTCCTACCTAACCTAACCCCAAACAATCCAAAAAATCAATAATAGTAGATGGTACCTGACGCTATATACGAAGCGACGATACACAAGGAGAAGAAGAAAGTCCAAGGAATAATATTAATACACAAATATTAATAACAAAATACACGTTTTCAAATTACATTAAAAGTTACTTATAGATTTTGAATATATATCAGAATCCTAAATTCAGCAATTTCTTCAAAGAAATTCGGAAAACAAACAAAAAGCATTTAGGAGTTTCGGTTAAATAAATTTCGTGAATTTTAATAATAAACATTATAATTCTTAGGTATTTAATGGGACTAATCCCTCCCACACGCCTCCACTGTAACTCCTGTACAATGGGATCAACAGCAGTGACCCACGAACACACCGAGTTATGACACTCGGTCAGGAATTCTTAGGTATTATGAAATTCGGGCTTTTTGAAAATCGGAACATCGAAGATCGGAATAAAATAGTAGGTATAGTAGTAGGTCGGCGTATTTGGGTGTTCCCTCGAAAAACAAAATTGATTCTACTTTTTATGATGCAATTTTTATTTCAGTAGATTTGATTTCAATTTTTTATATTTTTTAAAATTAATTTTAATGTAATAGAAATATAAACAAGCATTCTATTATTGTAGCAAACATAGAAGAATAACTACAATGTCAGAAGAGTTTTACAAAAGACGGTAATACATAAAATGCTGATGTAACGATAATTATATTCGCTAATACATACTTAGGTATATATTACTAGTAAAAATGAATATCTAATAATGAATTAAGCTTAATCCTACTGAATTTTTAACAATGTTTGTGTCGTATAAACATATTTTTCAATATTTGTAACAAAGATGAACACAATTTACTATGTGTTTTATATTGATAAGTGTTTATGTGATAAGGGTTTTAGTTGCGATCTGACAACGTTGTATTAATTACATACGTGATGCAAGACAATATTTATCAACATTCGTTCCATGTAATACGGTCTCATGCGCAATTATTATCGCACAAGCTAGAGCTTGTGAGTTCATGTTTTCAGTTTTTTTTTCATATAATTCTAAATATTATTGTTTAAAAACAGATGAGAGGTTGGAAGACCACGTCTCACCAAAAACAAATTTATCAGAAAATATAGTAAACAATCCTCAAAACGGCAAAGACCTATCAGATCTAAGACCAAGGATTTCAGCTACTAATAAACAATCGGTGGAGCAGTCTTCCTTGTCTGAATATGTTGTGGAGTTGAATAACGCCAGTGCATCATGGAGTGATGCTAAAGATCCTGCAGAAATGACTCTGAAAAACATATCACTGCGTGTACGAAGGAACAAATTGTGTGCTGTTATTGGACCAGTAGGTTCTGGAAAAGTAAGCTCCTTTTTTTTTGTATCTTATTATTATTTGCTCTTCTCTTCCCTTCTTATTATAATAGCTATCGATAAAAACTATTTAAACTCATTTTTTTTTGTTCATGTTTAATCTATTTTAGATAAGAACTATAAATGCCACGGAGGACTAAATTCAGGTACATGTATTAGGTGTGTAATATCTTTCAAATCTATATTGTTCTAGTTAGTTTAATCTATTGGATTTTATTTGATTTTCAATATAAATAAGCACACACAATATAAACAGCAAATAAAATGATTGAAAACTATACATAACAGGTTTTTTATGCCAAATAAGAAAGAAAATAATATCCATACATTAATATGAATCAGAAACATTTATTTACATATACAATACATATTATACAATAGAATGTAACTGTTTTTTTAAAGCATAAAATAAAAATCATTTGTCTTGAATAAAAAGTATGTGCAACTACATATTTCAAAGTTAAATTTACACCACAGAGTACAGTAATATTATTTTACACGAATTCTTTTCTACCAAACATTTTCTTTTTTCTTTTTGATACTTGCCTCAGAATACAAGTATCAAAAAAAAAAAACAAATGTACAGAGTGTATGTGTATGCCTTTAAAAAACACCTAAAAGAGAAAGATTATATCAAACCTCAATTAAGGAGGATTAATTCAACACACATCGATGTTTTGAAATTCCTACATAGATATTTTAGGGGTTTATATTTTTTCAGTTTAACTTAGGTTAGACTTTTGATGTTGGCGGTATCCTTGGACATCGTCGACGTGTTCATAACCTTGCCCTGGAGTTGCATCAGGGAGGCGCTTGTGTATCATTAAGTGCCTCTCTACCTCCGCCGTATAGTCGGAGCAAACTTGTCGGAGAGAGTCGTCATCTACCCTAGTAGGACCGGTATCGGTTAGCGTGAAATGTCGCGCGGTGTTCCGCAGGGTTCCGTGTTAGGGCCGCTTCTGTGGAACATCAGCTACGCCTGGGTGCTTCGCGGTGCCTTCTTAGATTGTGTCGCCGTCACGTGTTATGCGGACGATACGCTTGTGACGGCGTGCGGCGACATGCACTAGCAGAAGCAAGCCAGGTTGACGCGCTTTAGAACGTGGTTTCTACACACGAGGGGGTCAACAACAAGCCGTAGATGGCCCGGGGTCCACCGGGGTCCCACAGATTTCCTTCCTAGGGTACACCTGGTCCCCCAACTTCTGGTGCCAAAGACGGCGTGCGGTTTTTGGTCGGTTCATGTCCGACATAATCACGAGTGGGTGGTATCCGAAGGGATTTCCGCACAGACAAAAAAAGGGATAGGCTTTTGAAAACTTTTAGTTACAATTAAAGAAACCGGTGAGATGGGAAGGGTTTAACGACCATATAAGCTCGTAAAGGTATGTAGGATAGGGTCAAGTGGTGGGTCTTTATCTCTATGCGTCCTAAACGGAAAAAGTTGTGAAGCGAAGCGTGTTTTAACAGAGAAGTATTTTTCAGTCATCACTTCTTCAAGTGCTGTTGAAGGAACTACCACTTATGACGGGCAGCGTAAATGTCAAAGGAAGAGTTTCTTACGCCTGTCAAGAATCCTGGCTATTCCCGGGAACGGTGCGAGAAAATATTTTGTTTGGATTACCTTACGATGTTGACAAATATAAGGAGGTAATATTTTATTCATTCAATTTTAAACTAAGCCCTAAAAATTACACTTGTTCTGAATGATAATGCCAGATTATCATTCAGAACAAGTGTAATTTTTTTGTTAGAGTAGAATTACTTTTACTTGTGAACTTTAACTATTTACATGCAATGGCTTGTAGGAATATCCTTTCTAGGGTATATCTGAAGCCCCAGCAATAATGGTCCTATTGCTAGGTCTTCATCTTATTGGTAACAGAATATTATCTGGTTTTAATCATCAAGTCGCATCAAGTCCAATATATCATGTTACTGATTGGACCTTATCTTACGACACGTGGGTGTGTCCTATCAAAAAAAAAATAGGTTTATTGCTGGTTCAGTATACAACTGTATAGAAATATGCATAAAATTGTCATCATTCCAGTATCATCTTTGTACAAAACAGGACACTTTTTTTTCTGAATGTGACCACTTTTGTCTGTAATAGTATGTCTGTAAACAGCTTGAAAAAAATGTAACTATGGCCAGGGATAATTTAGAGCTCTTAAAACATAATCCATCAAACATCATAAAACATCCTCTTAAATTGTTTTGTAATGTAAATATAATATTTATTGTTATTTTGATCGCTGAATACCTGTATAAATAACCAGGACTCAGCCAGTAAAACAGTGTGTGTGTGAAGGACAATCATAAATTGACTATTTTTATAAAAATACAATAATTACAACTTTCCTTCCTAATATTCACATAGGTGCTATAGAGTGATTTAGAATATTCACTCTAATTCATCACAGATCACTCTAATTCTTTACAGATATTGTGATGTTGATTTTTAGTTAATTTGGAGATTATAATAAATAAGATCTGGAAACTAAATACCGAGGTTATTGCACATACATTAGGCCTGAATCGGGCTAATATACCGATGAAAAAGAATGATGAAAAAATCTATATCTATACAAAACAAAGCCTAAAGTAATTTCAACGACGTAAAGTAATTTCAACGAACAAAGCGGACGTTAAGTTTTTATTGCGGACGTCAATTTGCCCGCTGTTAAATAATTTAACGCAATCAGGCATAATACTATATTATTCATTTTCTTTCATTTTTCTTTATATTTACAGGTTTGCAGAGTAACTTGCTTACAGCCGGATTTTAAACAATTCCCGTATGGAGATTTGTCGTTGGTAGGAGAAAGAGGAGTGTCTCTTTCTGGCGGACAAAGAGCCAGAATAAACTTGGCCAGAGCTATCTATCGTGAGGTATTATACTACTTACTTTATCAAAAACAAATAAAGCGGCAATTAATATTGATACTGATTAAACCTTGCTATAGGCATAAACCCACAGTTGATAAAAAATATTATTACAGTTGCTTCAAACCGCAAGAATATCTTAAATATAAAAATAAAATAAAATAATCACTGCAATCATCTCAGTAGTTTGAAATTCAAGTAAATAACTTGGCTTGATAAATATTCACTTTTATAGTGGCAAAACAAATAAGTTCAATAGTTATTTAATAACCAAGAAATTATTGGTATTTTAAAATTTTACAGAGTATCAGTACTAGCTTAACGAAAATTTATAATTGAGCGGCGTTTGAGCATCTGGACAATTTGTGTTTTATGTCTTAAATAATTTTAAAACATCATCTAATGATACTGGTTGTGTTTCAAATTGTAATATCTTGCATTTAGTTGAGACCTGTGTTCAGAAGTGGACGTCCATAGATTTAGTTTAATGTTTAGTAATGAATGTAAAAATACTTGTAAGATAAGATACTTATTTTAAGTCTTATTTTTATTTGTAACACGTTTATTTGGTTTACAGGCTGACATTTATTTGCTTGACGATCCTCTGTCAGCCGTGGATGCAAATGTAGGAAGGTTGTTGTTCGAGGGATGCATTAAAGGATATCTGAAGAACAGTACTTGTATTCTAGTCACTCATCAAATTCACTACCTCAAATCGGCTGATTTCATCGTTGTATTAAGTGAAGTAAGTTTGGAGACTACCTTTTTATCATAAAAAATGCCAATAATGATACAGGTACCTGGATGACCGAGACTTGGCCGGTATTTATTACTATCATCAATACACAATGTATCTACCATAGAATTGTCTGGGTTTAGCTACTCGAGTTTTAAAATTGATTGCTATAATTGGCACTTACTTTTCAAAAATCAAATATGATTTTAAGTCACCCATTTTATTGCGGTATATTACTATGCATATATAAACTACAACAACATGGAAACGTTGATAATCAAAGATAACTGATCCATTTGTGAAGTTTTATCACCAATGTGTACCAATGTAATTACTTACAAACATAGGTACAATACCGAGTCTAGTATTGCAGGAAAAACAGACATTAATTAATGAAATACATATGTAAAATATTCATTGTTGTTTTGTCTATATGTATACGTGTATAAGCTAGAACTTAAACAAACTTTTATTGCCAAAAATGCAATTTATTGCCAAATAAACTGACAGCTTACAGTTGCGTACGAAAATGGATTTAAGATTTAAATTAATTAAAAGCTTATTTAAAGCTCCTATGACGTCATTCGCGTTTGTCAATGACAATGGAGAAGTACAATATTCATGAATAGTGTTCAGAAGTGTTCCGGCTTCACTTTGTTAGTTCTTACATTTGAGATATTTTTCTATAAGTAGGTTGCATGAGGCACTAAAAACTATTTTGAAGGGGCCCTCCTGATCATCCAATAATGTTCTGAGAATGATGTTTTATGCAAATGTGTCTAATCTACATTGGGGTTCTATCCTGTGATTCTTCATTCAATGCAGACTTAACATTTTTATATGTAAATATGTCAATCAAGTTTTTGTTATTGATTTTGTAAGTTCAGGATTTGGTGGAGTGTAAAGAGTGGAAAATCCAACTATCCAATCAGACAATAAAATTTATAATACGATGAGTGGCCATGTGGCCATGAGTGGCCATGAGTTTGTTTGCCCTTTCTTCTCATAAGGCTCAACCCCTTGGAAACGGGCGGTTGTAGATCGGCACAGGCATATCTTAGATTTTGTATGGGTTTAGTTTTTGTTAAATTTATTTACTTACTATTTGACAAAACAGAGATTGTTGCTTTTGTGTGTGTTGATCTATGACTTTAGAGTCACATTAAAAGACGATTTCAAACAATTTTAATTTTTTTATGAAATAAAGAGAGTTTGAGTTTGATCTTTGTTTCATAATTAAATCCCTTATTGAGCTAAAGTAACTGACCTGAAGATATCAACGGTAGGTTACTCTCTTTTATTTCTACACTAGAAAACTCTGAAACTTTACAACTGCTATTGGAGTATAGCCGAATTATTAGAGGCTACTTCTATTGTAATTGGGAAATGGAATTTCTAACAACCTAATGTTTAATTACACGAGTATTACTTATAACCAAACAAATACGTTTGTATACCATAAGTGAGACATCAATACACTAACATTAGCAATAAACAATATTAACTGAAAACGTTACAGATATCTTCTTTGATGATCCATAACTTTGTAAAGACCAAAACTTTATTAACATTGTACTTACAATACATGTTTACCATTATCTTGCAGGGTGCCATAGAAAATATGGGCTCATATGACGAACTGGTTAAGACTGGAACTGAATTTACAGCACTACTGTCTAGTTCAAGCGAAGGTGGTGAAATTGAATCGGACAAAGTAAGTACAGTTACTATCTTTTGTAGTTCTGATACTGTTTCAGATTGGAAGACTAAAGCAAAGAAATTGTTTGTAAAGATATTATAATGTATTTACATTAATTTATTCAGATATATTTTTTGGAAGGCTTTTTGGAAGGCAACCAAAGAAAATAGCATGGCTTAGAGCCAAATTTCTATGCGCAAGGGTGTGCCCGCACAAGCTCTCTTGGGTCAAAGTACTTAGACCTATTTTTGACATATATTTTTAGGTCTTCAACCTTACCACACGGAAATTTTAAAAAACTTCGACTTTATCAATTTAATAAAAATGACTGAATGACTGAATCATTTTGATATAAGGATCTAAGTGTGAAGAAAGATATGCTTCTCAAAACTCGTCAAGTTCAGATTATTTCACCCATAGAATTATTTATATATTAAACCTGACGGAACTTGACGATGAGTTTCGATTTGTTTTTTAGCGAACGAGAACTTCTAATTACGTTCTCTGATAGTTATGTATCTTTAGCTACATATAATTATAGCTTAAGCTAAACTTAACAATATTGTTCTAGAATACGATAGAATATACGATAGAATATAGCTCAAGATACGCAAGATATAAGTTTTGAGTAATAATTTATTCAAAATTCTGTTTTTAAACATTATCTTGAAGTAGTAATGAGAAATAGATCAGGCGGGTAATATTATAATAATAATAATAACACATCTCACACAAGGCCGTCTGATCTCAAACTAGTCAGAGCCTGTACACTGGTAACCAGACTGCTGAGAAACATACTTATATATTTCTAAATAAAAACATATCATAAATACACATCTAGACACAGAACAAATGATCGTGCTTATCACACAATTATTTGTCCAGGGTAAGAATCGAACCCACGACCTCCGGCTTAGCAGTCAGGGTCACCACTAGACCACCGGGCCCGTCAATATTTTTTATATACTGTTATATATAGCGTGTCGTTCGATTGATAACAAGCAATTACCGGTACCTATTAACTGTTGCAACAGTAACATAATTCATGTTTATATCACCTCGTCTGAATAAATTTATGAAACTATCATCAGACCTGCCGTCCTGTATGGTTCTGAAAGTTGGCCCATTAAGAGAACGGATGAGAGACGCCTGCACGTAGCCAAAATGCGAATACTGAGATGGATGTGTGGTGTGACTCGGATGGACAAGGTTAGAAATGAGTAAATACGAAGGAGTCTAAAAGATGAAGATGAAACGCTAAGAAGTAATAGGTTAGTTTAGTGTGGACATGTCTTGCGGAGGGATGAGGAGAATATGGCGAAGAAAGTGTTGTACAAGAGAAGAGGAAGACCAAAGAAAAGGTGGATGGATTGTGTGAGTGAGGATAGGGCTAGAAAGTGAGTAAACAGTGAGATGACGAATAATAGGGTAGAATGAAAGAGTCATGCTTACTGCGCCGACCCCAATAAGGGATTGGGATAAGGGTAGGCAGATAATCACCCCTTCTCAAGTAAATAGTGGTAAATAGTAGCAGTGCTACTTATGCATAATACTATAGCAAAAGTTCTAATTTCAGCATTTTTAATACCTATAATTGATTAACTACAGTTTGATCAACACCGCATAAATGAAGTTTAAAACGAAGTTATGATTTTTTTGTTTATTTATATAATTAATTAAATTTGGATCGATTAAAATTTGCTCTTCACAAATAGTTGGCCGAATGGCGCAGTGGTTTGTGTAACGGACTTCTAAGCCAAAGGTCGCGGGTTCGATGGGTGTTTCTATGTATAATATGTATGTATTTACAAAAAAAAGTTAATATGTTTTTGTATCAGTTGTGTAGTACAAGCTCTGCTTAGTTTGGGCTTTGTGTAAATGTGGTAGTATATTATTTATTTTTATTTAATTTTCAATATATTCTTATTATAGAAAGATAGACCCCCATTCATGACTCGAATTTCGAGGATCTCCGTCAAGAGCGAAGAAGGTGACGAGGAAAAGGCGCAAGTCTTAGAAGCAGAAGAAAGAGCCACTGGCAGTCTCAAATTTGAAGTGATCTGGCAATACCTCAAAGCTGTGCAATCTTGGTGCTATGTTCTTTTGGCGCTGTTTGCATTGCTCATTACTCAAGGCGCTGCTACTACCTCAGACTTTTGGCTCAGTTTCTGGTTAGAACTATGAATTTTATTCTATACTAGTATATATATATAGAAGTAACACCATGACATATTCAAAAAGACTTTATTCATTAAGCCAGAATTTACCTCTTTTATCGAGTCCGCTGCCGATATGCCACAGAGGACATCAACTTAAATTTTATCTACACCAATACTACAATATAAAGACGGAATGTTTTTATATTTGTTGCATAACGAATATAAAACTAATAAAAAAAAGTCAGTGTTATTCATGTGGAAAAGTCACGTCAATCAGTAGAGATTCTCGGTTGCGTACGATACTAGTAAGGCAATTTTGAAATAAAAATTTAAATTAAGTTGAATTTCTATAGATAAATATTTTAAGCTGAGAAATAGTAGGTACAGAAGATGGATAATAATAATGTATAAATTATATTTATGTTAAATTTCAGGACAAATCAAATAAGTGGCTATCTACTTTCATTACCTGCTGAAACAGAACCAGGTTTGTGGCAAGATTGTTATTTATATAAATTTCCTGACCTATAAATACGTTTATAATCTCGAGAACAGGGTAATGAATATATTAACTCTTATTAACCTAATAATATCTCTTTCTTTTGGGCACATTGTTTACTTATCGCATGCATATAACAAAAATGTCACGTCACTGTAGTGTCTTATCATGATTTACTAAAGATTCAATAAGAGTGCCAAAAGTGACAAAAGGCAATGAAAACCGTCCTCTCAAGTTTTAACATAAGAAAATAAACGAGTGGGACTGTGTGGAAAATATTATTTTGCATTCTATATAACTTTTAAAGTATACAACATGGTTACACATAACATAAAAAGGAGAGAAGACTAAAAAATAAATACATTTTTAGATTGTTACAGAGAGAAACATTTTAGTGTCGTATTTTAAACCCTTGGAGCACGTAACGCATTATTTTTTTTTAGAAAAATCTATAATTTTAATCTAAAATAAAATCTCGTAAACAGAACTTAAATAACAACTGCTACATTAGCAGACATTTCTTAATTGTTGCTTTTTCCTCTTGTTATTTAATACAAAGAAGAAGTGTCAAGAAGAATGTTATCGCACGTAGCGATAACATTCTTCTATGTGGTAATTTAATGTGTGATTTAGTTTAACAATTACCTAAAGGCAGATATAGCATATGTTATTTTAAAAAAAAGGTATTAAAAATGTAGTATTTATTTTCGGCTACACCTTTTTGTAACAAGAAACACTTTTGTTTTTTTTCATGGATAGCTATTTAGCGTTTAATAAATAACTAAAGTGCGTTTATTTTATTGCAGATACAAGCTTGGATGCCCAAATCGGTTTACTGACAACAGCGCAATACCTGACAGTGTATGGCTCTGTGATATTAGGAATTATTTTATTCTCTCAACTTAGGATTATCAGTTTTGTAGTAATGACCATGCGAGCATCACAAAATCTTCACAATACCATATACGAAAAGCTGATTGTAACTGTTATGAGATTCTTTGATACGAATCCATCAGGTGAATTTATTTTATGAATTTATTGTACGCAATAAACATAAGCATCACACGTTAGCATACAATCCTATGTTTAGGGATGAGGGTGTTAAGATGTGCTCAGTTAACAGTAGCAGTAGGACCTCGAGTCCTCGAAGCTTATTAGAAATGTAATAGGTATTAATGAATTTTCAAAAATAGAGAACAAATCTACTGGCCATAGCCTATCCTTAGAAAGGAGGTTTTGGTTTACTTTTGGTTTTAAGTAAGTTATTTGGTCTAGGTTTTGCTTCTCTTTGTAGTGTAGTTGTCTTTCGTAGTTTGCTCCCGTAGTCGGCTCTTACGACACCCACGGGATGAATAGCTGTGGTGACACTCTGTATTCTTAATTCGTGCCTACAGGTGGCAAATTATATTATTCTTAATTTCTGTTACAACATTTATTTAAGCACTAGGCTTAAGCACTTTTCAATATGTCTAAATAAATATATAAATTAATAAGGTATTATGTCGATAGAAAAAAAGAATTAAAAATCATGAAATTGAATTTTACTTCTACTAGTGTCAAGTATCCTTTGGCGGGATCCATCTGTAACCAGGATCAGCTCAAAGCCGTAAGACATGTTCTTTAGTCGTACTTTCACAACATGGTATGACATTTATCCAATATATATCTACTTTCTTTATTAATCTCAGATTGTAATAACTAAAAAGTGAAAATTGAGAATCATTTTGTGTGTAGGAAATCTATGACTAATGATCAGTTATTTAAAATAATAATGAGATCATTTTCTTAGTGGCTATTATATTTTTACAATAAATACAACTAGTTAGTATTAAGTGTTCATCATCATCATCATCAACAGCCTTTAATAGTCCACTGCTGGACATAAGCCTCTCCTGAGAAAGGAGGTTTTGGCCTACTATACCACGCTGGCCAGACGGGTTGGTAAAGGGTTTGTGTCAAGTTTTCCTTCTCTCTGCAGTGCTGTTGTCCTGCTTAGTTATTTCCCTTAGTCGGCTCTTACGACACCCACGGGATGAATAGGGGTGGTGACACTCTGTATTCTTAATCCGTCACCACACGGACCGTGTTAAGTGTTCGCAGAATCAAATATGAATTGACATGTTCATTAATGTAATTTCATTTCTATTTGATTGTTAACAGGTCGCGTTCTAAACAGATTTTCGAAGGATATGGGCGCAATGGATGAACTTTTACCCCGTAGCATTCTAGAAACAGTTCAAATGTATCTATCCTTGACCAGTATCCTCATATTGAATGCTGTAGCTTTACCCTGGACTTTGATACCAACCTTTGTACTTATAATTATTTTCGGTTTCTTATTCAAATGGTACCTGAACGCGGCCCAAGCTGTAAAGAGATTGGAAGGCACGAGTAAGTAAAATCAAAAGTTCAATAATTTATATGTAAGATGTTGTTGGTTTTTTCATTCATCATTTTTTTCATACACCTTTATCTATGAGACTTGTGTAATTATTTTGAATCGATTTGAATTTTATTTTATGAAGAAATATTTGTTTGCTATAATAATAGAACAAACATTTAAAATAATATTCTCTCGAACGACACCGTAGTTTACACAAGTAAGAAAAAACGCTAAGCTACCTATTTCTTTCTGATAATTTCATTTATTTTTAATATTTGTTTTTGTTTCAACAGCTAAAAGTCCCGTATTTGGAATGATTAATTCAACCATATCTGGACTATCAACCATAAGAAGTTCTCAGTCTCAGACTAGACTCCTGAGATCATTTGACAACGCTCAGGTAAAATCTTTAGATATTTTTTTTCTTTACTTTCTTATTTTGTATTGAAAACCAAAATACGTAATCTATCTCAACAGCTCTTTTTATAGATGCTGTATTATACGAAACTTTAATTGCAACAATTGCGGTGATTTTATGTACTCAAGAATATTTCTGACATCTTAAAATTTTAAATTAAATGATTACCATTTTACAATTTTAGGATCTCCATACAAGCGCATTTTATACTTTCGTCGGAGGTTCTACTGCATTTGGTTTGTATCTAGACGCCCTCTGTTTGGCTTACCTTGGTGTAATCTTGGCTACCTTCCTCCTAATAGACTTTAGTAAGTTTTATTTTATTTTATTATACTTAACTGTAGTTCAACTCATCTTTTTGTTCATTATACCTATTTATAGGACTATTGTAGCACTTTTTTTTAATATTTATTAAAAAAACTTTTAGAGATTATAAGTATATTTAACTATAGGCCCGCTCCGCTCCTGCATGCCGCTGCGACGGCCGCGTTGCCTCCGCATTTTAACCTCTGATATCTACTTAGATATTCACTTTGACGATATGATGTGAAAGGCAATTTTGAGCTTCATTAAATGCACAACGTTTCTAACGTATTTATTTGGATATTGAACAATACCGTATTGTTTAAAATAGCGTCGTTACTTACCCATTATTTTTTGTAAATTTTTAAAAAGATTAAAAGGTCACTGTGGGTTTTTCTTAGGAGATAGACATATACCATTGCAAACTTTTCTGTAGATATTTTTAAGATAAACAATTCCGTAGTAACTTACTTTAATCTATCTCTTAAGGTGTAGTCAGCGTTTGCACTCTCTCTATTGATCACATCTCGGGAAGATTGCGATGTCGCATTTTATCTATACATCTATTCAAATAAGTAAAATTGCTTGTCTGTTTGTAATGTCAAAATAAGGGTTTTTTGGGGTTATTATTATTTGCACGATGCTTATGCCTAAAAGGCAGCGCTTTTTATATTCCACGCAAAAGAACATAAACTTTAAAAAAAATTGACTAAAAAATGATACGGGGCGTCAGAATTCGAATCTGAATCGGGATCATTTCATAAAGGTATAAATTTGTTTTGATTTTTTTAATAATGAATATAAGTTTATTTAAAATTAGTTATGAAACAGGACTAATGAAACAAGTCTGATAATGCATGAATTAATATTTTGTAGCACAGACTTACTTATTTAGCTCTGAGGTTAGTACTATTTGAGAAATAAAGGGTTGATAAGGCAAATACCGTAGCTTGTCAGTGAATGAATGGAAACTTCTGGAATGTGACACCTGAATTGAGTGTTAACGTCTTTTTTTTTCTAAATCTAGGTGCTTTGATACCGGTGGGCAGTGTGGGTTTAGCCGTCAGTCAGTCCATGGCACTGACGATGTTACTTCAGATGGCAGCACGATTTACAGCTGACTTCTTAGCTCAAATGACGGCTGTCGAGAGAGTTCTCGAATACACCAAACTCCCTGTCGAACCAAATATGGAAAATGGACGTAGGTGTATTTAAGATGTAATAATAGCATTATAGAAATAGCCTATAAATGTAATTATTATAATTAATGCGGACCAAAGTAAGTCAATAAAAATATGTTTCAGCAACTGTTCCACCTAAACAATGGCCAGCTCAAGGAAATGTGCTCTTTACAAATGTGTTTTTGAAGTATTCTCCGGAAGATCCACCGGTACTAAAGAATTTGAATTTCGAAATTAAAAACGGTTGGAAGGTACTATTTTTATTTTTTTATTTAAATTGTGTAGGTTATTTTTATTGAAAAGCTATTGCAACAGATATATGAAGAATTTTGCTAGATTAAATAAGATTATTAAATATTTTTAATTTATGTTATGAGTGAAACTTACCTAAATAAAATAAGTAAGTATTAAAAAATATTGTTATAAAATATTAAAACTAAACTATTTATTACAGGTGGGTGTAGTCGGTAGGACTGGGGCTGGCAAGTCATCGTTAATAGCAGCTTTGTTCCGACTGTCTAATATCGAAGGTAGCATCAAAATCGATGGTTTGGAGACAGAAGGTATTGCTAAAAAGGTAAAACATTTGAATCTTAATTATATTTAATTTTCTAAATGGGATGTACAACACAACGTACATTATACAACAATAACAAGCAATATTAAAAAAAAAATATTGCAAAACCCATTTATCGCAGAGGTGACACCAAATATTCGTTGGTGAAATTCGTTTTTGAAAAATTGACTCGTACCAACCCTTTCGGATATTGTTTACGTCAGCAAGACAGTAGGTATACAAACTATCCCTTAAAAGGTATAATAAGGTATAAAATGACTGTTTCAAAAAAAGGTATTTACAGATATTATAGCCCTTATTTCTCATAAAAACAGGTGAAATGTTTAAAGTTAAACATTTAAATCTAAATATTTTTTTTATTTCGTTCATCGTTGTTTTAAATCCATTAAAACTAATTTCAAAAACATTGCATACTTTTTATTAAAGTTTTTATGGGTTTTCGCAATAATTACAATTTCAAGTAAAAATATATATTCTACTAACTAGTTACACTCAAATCATTTATACTCGTATGTGTATTATAATCGATTACGGAATTTAACATTCAAAGTAGTGGTCGTTGGCTTGGTACCTTGAATCTCTGCATTGTCATGCACTCAACATTATAGAACTATTTTATTTTATTTTCAGGATCTCAGATCTAAGATTTCAATTATTCCACAAGAACCAGTATTATTTTCAGCATCACTGCGGTATAATTTGGACCCATTTAATAATTATAGTGATGACGAAATTTGGCGAGCATTGGAACAGGTAATTTCTTCAAGCCTCAGTTACCATGTACATACACCATGCTTGTAAAATTTGCAAAAAATAACAAAACTTTGCAATAAAAAATTGCAATGACTGCACGGATGGCGTAGTGGTATAAGCAGGTTCGATGCCCACATGGGACAACACTACGTGATCCATGTTGTTTTGAGTCTGGGTGTTCTTTCTCTTTTTCTGTTCTATATTTTCATGTATGTCTGTAAAGTCCATATAGTGTGTTTATCCATGCAAGCAAATAGTGTGCTGGGCGAAAACACACCCAGAGTTTCTCATGTCTACCAACAGTTGTATTATATTTAGTACATTTTATAAAACTCCTTGGTAATTTTCTTCATTAACCGGTTACACAATTAAATTAATTTATTCACCATAAATCAGTTTATATAAATGATTCTGTTTGCTTAAGGTAAATTTTTAATTATTTTTTTTAATTGTGTGCACCGCGTTTGCACTTATATGAAAGTTAAATTACTTATTCAATTTGTACTTTTGAGTTAAAAAAGATATAATTGATTAATTCTTGCTAGGTGGAACTGAGAGATGCAATTCCGGCGCTAGATTTTAAAGTGTCCGAGGGAGGCAGCAACTTCTCAATGGGACAGCGGCAGCTTGTGTGTCTGGCTAGAGCCATTCTACGTTCCAATCGAATACTTATAATGGACGAAGCCACTGCTAATGTAGATCCTCAGTAAGTTTCCTAAGCCTTAACATAATTCAGTTGTAACTATTTTTTATTCTGATATTTATTGGAACGAAGTTCCTTATCGCACGTTACATGCTCTGAGCGGATGGGAGCGAGACCAGAAAATGTGTAACAAGACTGTTTTCGGACACTTTTTGCAGAACTTCGTTCCGACCTGGGGTCCATAGACCCCTCATGCTGTTTTTTCTTATAAAAAATCATTCTCAATACAAATTAAAGTAACTGCCTATATTATATGTATATCTACTACTTACAGAACGGACGCATTGATTCAGAAGACCATTCGTCGTGAATTTGCGTCATGTACAGTTTTGACAATTGCTCATCGTCTAAACACAATCATGGATTCAGACCGTGTGCTCGTCATGGATAAAGGCGAAGTCGCCGAGTTTGACCATCCACACGTTTTGTTATCGAGCCCTTCCAGCAAATTCAGATTTATGGTTAATGAAACTGGGGAAAAGATGAGCAAGCTCCTTCAAGAAATTGCAAAAAATAAATTTGATAGTGATAATAAGGAAGCTTAATGAAATTGTATTAAGTATTTGCTATAAGTATAATTTATAATAAGTAGTAAAATGTATTTACTATAAGTAGAAAATAGTAATATAAGTCTCTTTAAATGTGACTAAACCAGTTAATGTAAAACTTATAAGCATTTTCTAGAGTTAGCAAGGTACGTTAGCAAGCGATTTCATGAACTGTAGGAAAAAAGTATTATATCGATTTTTAATCGAAATTTTCTCTTATGCAATATGCAATATGAAAGTGACTAACGCCGTTCGTGAACAGCTGCAAGTCAGGAGTCAAAAACTCGTTGCCGGCCTTTGAGGAAGGAGTATGCTCATTTCTTGAAGGTTTGTAATTTACACACTATTTCGCGCCAGCTTTAGTTCCTCTCTTCCGATGAACAATTTAGTTCTGCGTTCAATTACATTATAGACTTTAGATAAACAAAAATATCTATAATCAGATGAAACACAAATGAGATTTTTTAACTATAAAGGCAAGTTCAGTGAAAAAAAGAACATGATTTTTTTTCAACCAGTTTTTTCAGAACATATAAGTAATAATATAACTATCTGATGGTGACGGATGATCAAGGTAGGGAAATTTTATAGCGCCTTACTTATACAAAAAATACTCTAAGGTTCGAACTAACGAAACTATAAAAGCCAAAGAAACAGTAACAGACCATGACAGAGACATGACTCCTTAGAATTGATAGACCGTTTTCTCACAATTTTGAATTGTCAGTTTGAAACGTAATTTCGACAACTGTTTTATTTTTATTAAATATACCTGCAGTATTTTCTAAAAAATAATTCTTTGAATCGAGAAAATGAAGGTATTTCATATTCTGTATTGTGCTGTATAGTTTTATTTTTAAGACTAAATTATGTTGTCATATCAAAATGTTGCTACACTAAAGATATTTGAATTTAAGATGATTAAACACTATCTACTAATGTTTTTATTGTCCTGCGTGTGTAATATATTTTTACACATACCACACACTGTCGTCTAATTACAAATTAGGCGGAGCATGTGTTATGATAACCAAACTATTAATAAACATACATATAAAACATTTTTATTTCATACATTTTATAGATAAATTACAACCAAACACAGAGCAAATGATGATCATGATCATCGCTTAATATTGTCCTAGGTCTGAATCGAACCTATGTCCTCTGACTTAGCAGCCAGGATCACTAATAACCAGTCCAACAGACCAGTATAGTCACTGCTCCACTTTCAGGGGTCGTAGCGTGATATTTAATATATTAGCACATAGTATTGCTCCTTAATATTCTGTTCATTTTGTTGAGCAAATACGACGCAGTTTTCTTCTTTCTCAAAGTTGTTTCTCTTGATGATATGTTGGTAATAAATATCCTAGTTGACTAGTAGAGGATAACCTAGACATTAACCTCATCTACTCGACTAAGGCTATGGACATAGGCATGGCATTTATATTTCCAGAAATTTCGAATACCTAGAATCAAACTTAAGCTCTATTAATTACTAGAAGCTGATGCCAGAAACTTCAACTGCATTGGTTAACTGGCTAACTGGGATGAATATTTAATATTTGATTACTTTAACTCATACGATTAGAAATAAGTAACAAAATAGTATTGATTTTCATAAAATATTTTATCATTTTACATTGCAATGTTGATAACTCATGCAACTGATAGGTTTTAACCGATTTTAGTTCTACCAAACAATCGCTAAGTGATTTAATGCTTTTACTTGTCAATTTATGAAAACATGATACAATTAACATTTTACAAAAACTAAGATTATTACCAATATTTTGTTTATTAGCTTACACGGCCCTCTTAAAGTTATTAAAAATGTTATTTGTGCAGTTTACATTTAATTACGCGACATCTCTTCAACACACTTTAACCTATGATAGATTGAGACGGTAATCCCATAAAATTATAATAATAATAATATTGTACCACATTCACACAACGCCATCTAGTCCCAAACTAAGCAGAGCTTGTACTATGGGTACTAGACCACTGATATAAATACATATATACTTTTTTTTTGTAAATACATACATATTATACATAGAAACACCCAGACCAAATCAAACATTAAATGTTCATGCACACAAATGCTTGACTTGAGCGGGAATCGAACCCGCGACCTTTGGAATAGCAGTCCGTTACACAAACCACTACGCCATTCGGTCGTCGAATTATTGAATATCACCAGCCCCGTCGGAGAATATCGGCTCGTTTTAGCTTAGCTTAGCTAGATATATAAGACCTCTATAGTGTGCTTGCCGCATTGTCTTTAAGTAATCTGTGCCGTGAGTGCAGAAAAAAAAGTTCTTGTTTTGTTTAGGCAATGACAGCTATGACGTTAGACATATTTGTCACACTAAGAACAATGTAATCAAATTAAACAGCAAACATCAACAAACCAATAATCGATGGATTCCACATAACCCTTACAAATTATGGAGCCTAAAACATATCAAGTTTATGGTACAGCCCCACAATCAAAGAGACCTAGCTATTGTGAAAACTGTACATCAGAACCACTGTACTTGCCAAAAAGTACTTTGGTACTATCTTTTATTTTTCTGTTGGTGATTGCCTACCTTTCCTGGTCTTTATATCACTGCCGCTACTGCCACAGAAATTGCGGCAGCGATTGGTAAGTGAATTTTTAAAACTATGGGCGTTAAGCAATTAATTTTTTGTCTTGTTTTACATGTCAAGGTCATATCTAAACTTAGCTTAACCCGTCCCGCCGCCTTTACCCAACATCAGCTCTTTAGCGAACAGCACCTTCTCTTTAGCCAACATCACCTTCTCTTTAGCCAACATCACCCCTATTTAGCCAACATCACCTCCTCTTTAGCTAACATTACCTTCTCTTTAACCATCATCACCTCCTCGGAAAACGAGACGGCGGAATCCCACGAACTCTCATTTTGAACCATGATCATCAGTTGTGGCACTCAGATTTACCCGAGCATCGAGGAACCACCGATTGAATTAAGTAGATTAAATTCTAAAAAGAATGTGGGGAGAGCGTGTACAGGATTTCAAAAATGTAAAGAAAAAAGCAGTCACAAAGAAATACTCTGGCGCTTCAGATATAAAAAATGTAAGCACGTGTACGATAACGGAGAAATGTTAATCTGCTGGTTTGCATGGTGGGAAAATAACACTCGTGAATATCCAGGTGAAGTTTTTTTTTGCTACCATGTCACTCTCCATTTTCCTTATGTCAAGCTCAAATTCTCAGATTATTGAAAAGCACACTTTTCTGCATGTAATTAACTAACCTTGCCGAATGCGCTCGAGTTTTTATAACGATCGTTTTTTTTTACTAATCTGATCAGCTGCCCTATATACTCGACTATTAATTACTATATAAATGTCTCAAGTATGGTGGGAGTACTCAATAGGGTTCAAGGTTTCCCCTCTTGTGTAGTTCTACCGTGCTTGAGTAAATCCCATAATCCCCGTTTGGGCTACCCTTCCATTAGTCGGTCTTTCCTTAGCCCTTAAGACCTAGCGAATCTGAGCCCATTGCCCTTCGAATATTGGATTTATGTACCGCTCGGGTGGATTAATGGGCCATAGGAGCAACTTTCGTAGGCCTTGTGCCATTGGTACAACTCCACTGCCGGCTAGAACACTACGAATGAAATTGTGTGGCATCCCCTCATGACTGACGGCAATCGCTTCTAAGCACCATTTAAGTTTCACAATAATTTTCTAAATTTTGCTTTTAATTTTCGAGATCAAACTTCGGTAGAATCTTTTTCTGTATAAAATGAGAAATAGTGATTCTACCTTTAGCGAAATGAATATTAAGCACTATGTAGGTAACCTTTAGGCTTTGCAAGATCAAAGCCGTAAAGTTGCCTACATAGACTCCTGAATCGATTTAATCAACAGACCCTTTGAAATAAACTAATTAATATAATAATAACTAATTAATATAAGGTTCCATTGTCAAGCATACGGTATGTCAAAACTGAGTAGTAATCGAAGTCTGTACAAAATTCTCGTAAATGTACTAACGACGGTTTTATGTTGATTAGCTTCTATTTTACAGGAGGCGCTTGTGAATTATTTTGTTTCTTATTAGAAATAACGCACGATTGACAGCTTAAAAGGTTTTATAATTTACATAATGTATCTTATACGTATGAACGGCTACGTGTTAGTAGTTGACTTCACTAAAATTGCAAAAAAAAAATAGGTTAAAACTTCATACGCAATAGACAAAAAGTACTGAATTCATAGACTTATAACATTTGTTGAAGTGTTTTGTTACTTGACACATGACATAGTGAAGTATCAAATTAAAAATGTAGTCGTGCCGATATAATAAAATGAGATACATTAATATAAATGAAATTTGGAGAACTAAATAATAAGGGTGTAGTTATATTGTAGTAACTATGCAACAAAAGAATAGGAAATGATGGGTGTGTGTTTGTGTGCTATTCGCAACGCTATAGGGAACTTTCCAACCTACCTAAAGCACAACAAATCGCAAGTACTTTTGGTAACTTTATTGTTTGTGGTATTCTACTTATCATATGCACTCTTTCGCTGTCACCATCCCAGAAGACGTTTGGCGTGCATGATCAGCCCTCCTTTCTGACAGCAGAGCCAGGGCTTTATAGAAAGGGTAAGCAATGCAACATTGCTCTTTATATTCCGTTACTCAGTAATTTTGTTCTTTTTTATGTATTAAGAGGCAAAGGAGCAGAGGTGTCACCTGATGGTAAGGGAATACCACACCTATGGACAGCTAGAACTCAAGAGTCACAATCTGTGTGTTCTTTGAGCCCCCTCCCCCAATAAATAAAGGGAGGAGGGCCTTAGCGCTTCGTTAATTTCACTTAATCAGTGAAAGCAACGGAAGAATGGCTTAACATCAGTTTTTTGTAAAGCCAGTATCACTAAGGTCAAGCTGGCTCAATTGTGCCGCAGCATAGCTCTACCACAGGTAGAACGGTGAAACGATTAAACGGTATAACGGTTTGTTAAATAGAAGTTCACATCTTGTGGCTGTAAGACCAGTTGTGTCAAAATCAGTTTAAAGTATCACAACAAGAAACAAATTTTAGAACTGTGGCTCGATAAACCTCCTGCTCAACTACACCCAGACACAGAACAAATCATCGTATTTACCTTAGAATCGAATCAGGGACCTCTGGCTTAGCTGGTTGGATTGCTGACCACTACACCAACAGGCTTTTAAATAGTTTGATAATCTTGACTCAGAACTAAGTAATATCCACATAATAAGTTTCTTGACGGGTTGCTCGCATTCTATCCGTAATACGAGTATATAAATTCCATAATAATATTTCGGATAGAATGATTAAAAAAGTACAATAAATATAATGTTTAAATGAATTTTATTTTTTCTCCATTTGTTGCCTCTAAATATCAGTAAAAAGTTGAATTAAATATAATTATTTTTATTATGCTTTGAGATGTGTTTATTAAACAATAACTAAGGACATATTTATTTAGTCACTAATACTTAAATTTTCTCTACATTTTATCCGTGTGGTGACGGATTAAGAATACGGAATGTCACCACCCCTATTCATTTCGTGGGTGTCGTAAGAGCCTACTAAGGGAGCAAACTACGTAAGACAACAGCACTGCAAAGAGAAGGAAAACTTGGCACAAACTCGATTCCAACCCGTCTGGCCAGTGTGGTATAGTAAGCCAAAACCTCCTTTCTAAGGAGCGGCCTATGTCCAGCAGTGGACTATTATAGGCTGTTGATGTGATGATGATGTGATGACTTAAATTCTCAGTTACATTCTATTCATTATCTATCACTTTGTATCTTAATGCTATAGTTATCTCGCATTTTCTTGCAGATTACTTCTAAAATAAGCATCTTGTGCCACTTTGAAGAGCACTGCACTATTTTTCTCGCCGGTCTCCCTCACCATAGATGAAAATTGGCTATTGGGGTCAGAGAGTAGCACGTAAGGATGATCGAACTCTGCAACCTCACCGCTGCTCATAACGAGTACCCGATCTGAATCCATAACAGTGTTGAGACGGTGAGCTATTGTTAATACTGTACATGATACGAATTGACGCCTGATAGTCTCTTGAATGAAATTGTCGGTCCTGTAACAAACAAGAACAGTATTATAAGTTTTACACAAGTTATCAAGAAACTTTTGATAAACTCCGACTTACTGAGGATCAACATTCGCCGTAGCTTCATCCATGATGAGTATCTGGTTAGACCGTAGAACAGCACGCGCTAAGCACATTAGTTGTCTTTGTCCTACTGAGAAATTAGCACCTCCTTCCGTAACTTTGAAGTCTAGTGAAGGAATAGCTGACTTCAAATCGACCTGCAATATTGAAAAACAATATACTGGTAAAGGTTAAACTTATCTATAGACTACTCATGACATGACAAGATATTAACATATGATCTGACCTGTTCTAGTGCTCTCCAGATATCATCGTCACTATAAATATCAAATGGATCCAAGTTGTATCGAATTGTCGCAGAGAATAGAATTGGCTCTTGTGGAATAATTGAAATTTTTGAACGAAGACCCTGTAAACAACAATAAACTTGAGAATAAATTCAGCCCACGCGATGTCGAATAAAAGTACTGTAAAATCCATACCTGACGCGCAAGTAGTGATGTATCTAGTCCATCAATTGTTATCGATCCATCGATGTAGGCGAATCTGAATAAGGCCGATATGAGTGAAGATTTTCCCGCTCCAGTACGTCCAACTATTCCCACCTATTTATATTTGAAAAAAATTGCAGTTAATAGTAAATATTGTGCTGACTAATTAATGCTAGAGTGTCTGGTGGTAGAATTTCAGCTATAACTCTTTAATCTTTAAATCTTCTGTTTTATAGAATTGATCAGTCTAACTTGATTGGTTATTGTATCGACTATCTGTTCCGTGACGGATCAATATTTATGGGACTTTTGTAACCGTTTTCGCATTAAATTTAAACTTAAATTCATATTAAAATTAATTATTTAGTTATTTGTTTTTTCTGCATAAAACCCTTTAGTTTAAAAATTTTCACATTCCTTAAAAAGCGCTTAAAAATCTTATTAATCTCAAATATAGAAAATGCTAACTACGTTTACATACCTTCCATCCACTTTTGATCTCAATGTTCAAATTCTTGAGAACTGGGGCTTCCGTTGGCGCATATCTTAGTGAAACATTTTGGAAGATAATATTTCCCCGAGATGGCCAGCTTGGTGGTATAGCTAGAGCTGATCATAGAAGTATAACAATGTATTTAAATCGATCTACGTATTAGATATTTATAAAAAATGCAAAAAGCTACTTAATAGTCAAAATAAACACTATTTCTATTCTGCATTCATGAAGAAAACTTAGTGCCAATTTTGTGTAATTTTCGTATTGTTACGAGCGGGGGGTATTTAGTAAATAAAAGTTGTTGGTTAATTACAAACACTCACACTCCAATAACAAACAAATAAAAAATTAATATAACTTTCAAGCAAAGAGCGTACTCCTTCCTAAAAGGCTGGCAACGCGTTTGTGACTCCTAAGTTGCATACCTTTCATGGGCGGAGATGGTCACTTTCCATCAGGTGACCTATCTGCTCGTCTGCCCCCTCTAACATAAAAAAAAAGGTACTGTTCCGTACGGTCAACGCGCTCCGCTTTTATAGTGCTATTGAATTTACTAGAGTAATAACGAATATTCTATTGAATGTTCCAGACAGAACTTCGTACAATAAGGCATCTACAAATTTCTATAATCTGCCAATATTCGACACTAGATGGTGCTGCAAGCAAGCATCGGAATTAAAAACCATAATCACAATGCGTAGCGTTGTGTGTGCCCTACTTGATACTAGATAGCGCTGTCTTCCAGGCACAAGAAAAACCATTCAATCCTATGGCGCAACAGTATTATTAAAAAATGGATATAAAATAAGTTAATTTATAACAGTTATAACATAACCTTAATTTTTCTTTTCTTGGGCTCCTCATTCAAAATAGGGTATGTGACAAAATCTTTACTTCATATAAAAGAAAGCGTGAGGGAGCGCCTGTTTCTAAATTGTTTCCTATGCTGTTACTTCGATTATTTGAATTTATTTGTTTTTAACCGACTTCAAAAAGGAGGAGGTTATCAATTCAGATGTTTATATTCTTTTATGTATGTTCGGGCATAACTCTGTCAGACTATAAACGGGTAATGGACGGAATTTCAAGATTATTTTTTTTATTCTAAAGGCGTTTATTCCGAAATGGTCCCATTTAAAGTTCATGTAGATCTGATGACGAGTTTCGGAGACAGACAACGCAACTCTTCAAAAAATGTCAGAAAATCAATCGCGATTGCTGCTAAGTTTGTAGGGTGCTCTTTGTTAGTATTATTTGAAGTTGGTTCGACATTTTTTTAGAAGGATTTTCTTGTGAACTTATGCAAATTTAAGTAAGCTAGTAATACTCACGTCCTTCGAAGAGATTTTTCTCGGTTTCAACTTTAGTGTATTCCAGAATACGTTCTACGCTGGTAAGTTGTGCGAGAAACTCTACAAGCATTCTCGCACCATGTTGCAACATCACAGTTAGGGTGCTGCTTTGTGATACCGCCAGACCCACACTGCCAACAGGTATTAGGTCACCTAAAAATAGTTTAGAGATAATGACCAAGAAGATTTTGGAGGATTCTGATGCGGGTTTCACTCCACTGTCATATATTTTTAGCCTGTATTTCTGAATCCAATATCTCCCTAAAAGCTGAAACTTAGTTATTCAAGCTACTGAGAGAGTTGTTACTCTTTCAGTAGCCTATTGGTAAGAATAGGCTACTGAAAGAGTTTTTTCTAGTAGTTCTGAAACAGAGGTATGGTTACGACCTTGGTTAGTGACTTTGGTTCGTTATTGATTTATTGGACTCGAACTTTAATCCGTGGCTTTCTATAGCAGTATTCTAGATTTTACTAAGCAATTTGGTATTTCTTGGGAAGCGTACGTTTTTCTCTCACAACGTGTTAGGAAAATTTATTCATGATCGGTTGAAAAGGTGACACTTAAAAAACAAACATTTCTTTTTTGCAAGAAATGATATACACCTAGTCGAAGAATCAAAGATCCCTAATTTACTTGCAAATCTTACAATAGTCTTAAATAGGTATGTAGATTTGGACACATGTATATATTTTTCCTTTGTAGTAGTACTTAGTGGTACAAATTACACTCAGTATCATCATAGTAAACGAATAATTTTATTAGGTATTAGTATGACTGCCCCAGAACACTCCACTGCAACAGAATTACAATTAATTAATAATATTTTCACACGTACCAAAGTCAACAAAGATGAACACGAAGATAACGACAGTGAGGTATAGCAAACAAAGTGTGTCCAACCAAAAACCAAATGTTGAACCACCAGCCAAAAAACCGTTCCATGCAGAATTGTGTAAGTTCTGTAACAAATACGTTTCAAAATTATAAGATAAGTTCACATTGTTTGTGATAGTGATTAATTATTTATCTAGCTTTTAGATTTTTTGTATACGGAAGTCTGGTATACCTATGGGTTTGCTAACTACAAATTGAATTTAGCACCTTTCTTAAACTTGTAGTAAAATTAAGAAGTTGAAGGGAACGAACGATATGCATTAGTGGTTTCGGCAGTTTAAAAATACAAATCCTCTTTACATAGTATAAAATAAAGTCGCTTTTCGTTCCTGTACGTTTGGATATTTCAAACTACTCAACAGATTTTAATCCGGTTTCCACCATAAGAGAGAGTGATTCCAGAATATATATATATGAATGCATGTTATTATAGTAGACGAAAGTAAAAAAAATCAAAGATTTCTAATGTGATGTCGTACAAAATAGTCTGCGATAGCAGTATACATATCATTTACTCCACACTCACATCACATTAGTATCTACACACAGTACATTGCTAGGTTATATTATTAACATTCATTTTAAAACTATAAATGTCTGTAGATTATATCATAAATATTTATCGTGTATAAGTTACTGTCTTTTTTAAATCATTGTTTACTATGAACTTCATTAGTCTTCGGAATGGTCCCACCCACTTGGATCTTTATGACCTTTTTAGATGTTCTAAGACATTTTATAAATGCACATACCTGGTATGCATCAAACTGCTGGATGAGTCTATTTTGGGCATTTGCTGATCTAATAGTTGAAATACCACTTAGAGATGATGTCACCATATTAAAAACAGGACTCTTGGCTACAAAATAGCAAAAAAAGGTATTAAAAATGTTTGGAATGTAACATTAATATAAGTAATAATTATATAATGAATTTTTTTTGTAAAAAAGGATTCCACTTAATTTAAAAGTGCGGACTCCTCAGACACAAACCTCCTCACAATACCTACCGTATCGAGAACTACTTTTTGCATTAGGCCCTTAATACAGCTGCCAACGCGAGGCTCTAACGATGTTGGTCGAGTCTCTTAGCAATTAATCCATGGGCTGATACAACTATTGGTACAATTATTGCCAAATTCACATCCCACATATTGTCTAACTTTCAAGAAATTGCCGATATTATTATTATGCATGTTCTACAGTGTTACGATAGAGACGAGGGATATGAGAGTTTTTAGAGCTCTCTAAACTTTTTAAATTTTTTAAAACAGCAGTACACAAATAGATATGCAAAATAGAATAACCTAAAAAATGATTTAAGTAACAGTAATTAACAATAAATAATATTTTCTTACATGTTCCTTCTAATCTCTTGATTCCTTGGGCTGCTTTTAAATATATTTTCACCATGAAAAAGAATAGTGTAAGCAGGACGGCAGTTGGTATGAGAGTCCAGTACAATGCAATCGCGTTCAGTATTAAAATACCAATCAATGTTCCGTAGATCTGCACCACGTCTAATAAAGTTCTTGGTAAGATCTCGTCAAGGGCACCCATGTCTTTAGTGAAACGATTCAAGATGCGACCTATGGATAAAAATATAAAGTGAGAATTAAAGAGAAAGCTCTTCTGGACTGCGATTGACAAGCACTTCTATTGAATAGACCGACAAAGCTAAAATCTTCACGTCTGGGATATTAATGATCGTTACAACGAAATAGGTACTCGTACTATTATTATGACCTATAACGTTATGCGTCTTGATTAAAATTCTGTAACAATTTTGCGAAAATCTCAGTATGTAAGCCTGCGACAGCACTCAAATACGTAGATATTTGATGTTATAAACATCAAATATATTTTCAAGCTTTAAAGCAGTAGGCAAGGCAATTTATGTATTTTTTTTGGCAACAACTGCTACCTTTTTTTATTGTATTATTATTACCTGTTAAGTGTCAAGAAGTGTTTTTTTAATGTAGGAGTGGATTAACGTCAATGGTTTGCTGGGTGCGAAACTGTTAGATCGATACTTAGCCAATAGGTTTAATTGAATTTCATACTATTATTATACTATACAATGTAAGCTAAGGAATAGTAATGTCTTTACCTGATGAGCTGGTATCGAAAAATCGCATAATTCCTCTTAACATGACGCCAAACATGCTGTTGTGTAGATTTCGAGAAGCGGAAACGCAGAGCTGAGTGACAGGGATGACACGAAAGTTGGTAAAGAAAATGACGGCGCCAACCAAACCACCATAAATCATCAAATATTGAGCGGTTGTGAAGGGGCCCACTTGTGTATTCAAATCAGGGTCTGAAATATTTAATTTACATATATATTACAAATAGGCAACAAGTTTACTGACAAAGAATACATTATCTTATTAGACAAGTGTTAGAGACAGAGGTGATAAAAGTTAGTATTCAGGTAAGCACTTAAAATACATAGGTGAACATCAAATCATCAATACATTGAGATGATTTTATTGTGACTATATTTTTTTTACAATGAAAGCAGTTACTAACTGCAATATGTGAGGCGGGTAGGTATATGTACCCTTTAGTTAATTTGTCTAGAGACGGGAGACTTGTCTATTAACCGTCACGACTGTCTAGTGCCTGCAAAAATTGCATTGCAGTGCAGTTGGAGGAAAACAAACTTTCTGTAGTTTTTTATGTACTTGCAGTAAATGTGTTTGCCACTTTCTCTGAGTACGAATCAAGTGATAGATTACCGTTCCTGGCACAACAAGCGGAAAAGAAGAGAGAGGTCACCATTTCTATTGTAACAATTGCACCACGATTATCTTTTCCAGCCAAGCTAACTTAAAGTGACTATTATCCGGACAGGGTATATCCATAGTGGTTAAAGGCAAAGGTTCGGTTACAATCAACCGGTTTTTTGTGGTCATTATTGTATGATCAAGTATTGTAGTTGTTATTTTAAATGTGTTAGTAAGGCGCGACTTGAATTAAGTGTAGTCATTTCAAATGCACTAGTCTCACCTCTTGCACCCACTGCTTTTACCTCGCTAGCAGAATATATGTAGTTATATTACTAACCTGGTAGTTGACCAGCCATACTTTCTTCGTATGCCGCCATTTGATTAGTCCTTTAAACAATTAACAAATTGAAGTATAATATTCATATATATTCAATATGAATATATATTCACCCTACAATAAAGTCACGAGAGGAGGGGCTAATGTACGTATCATAGGGCACACATATGACTGTTTACATAAGAACCAGAGCTGTCAGTGTAAGGAATTGGAATTAGTTACCACCATTAAGTACTTGGGGTTAATAATAGATAATAGATTTAGCTCGAGACCACACATAGAAATAGTATGTAATAGATTAAGGTCAGTTCTAAGTAAGTTTTACATCCTCAAAAGAATATTAGACAGACGTACTTTGTTCGTGGTATCCTATGCACTAGCGTATTCAGCTATTAGTTATGGGCTAGTATTTGCTGTTACGGACTAACATTTCAAACATATATAGAGGAAATTAAAAAGATACAGTTAAGATTTTTAAAAATAATTGTAGGTAAAATAATTAGGAATACGCATAAAGATGACTATAATAAGTTATTTTCCGAATGTGCCATCATGCCAGTCAATGAAAAAGTTAAGTATTTAATAGCATTAGAATCATATCATAGTGAGTAATAAAGAAGGGAAAATTAGAGCAGTTAAATTTATGTATTGTTTATGTCTTGAATATATTTGTATTGTTTGTTAGTACACCGTTGTAGTAGTAATTTAAAAACTAGCATTTAAGTACTAAGTTTATTATAGATTGAGCGGAACGCCTACAAACTGTTCGAACAGTTTGGCGAATAGAAACATTGTAAAAAAATGTAACTCAAATGTGAATTAATTTTTGTATAAAAAAAACTTATATTACATCGAAAGTGACACTTCGGATTGCTGTGTTATATAACTTATATACTAGATATCGCCTTGCGATCAAATTTTGTCTGATTGGTTTGACTTGTTTTGTTCATAAACCAGCATAACTTAACTACTATTACCAGTACCAGCATAATTGTTTGAGAACAATGATTTTACGACTCTACCGGAGTAATACCACAGTTTCATAAAAGCAAACAAAAACAAACCAAGTTCAATATTGCTGAAATTAAAGAAAGTTAGGAGTTCATACGTTTGCATACCCCACTGCTTAAAAAAGCAGGCAGTTCCTTAAAAAAAAGCTACAGGGCTTTATAAGATAACACATACAATCTCAAAAATTGGGTAACAACATCATGCAAGTGAACCCTTATTTTTACTTTCTATATTGTCGACACAGAACACACTTCAACACAGCTTCAGAACAGCAAGGAATCCTACGCCTATTTCAAGAAACATTAGGTTTTATTCACATGTTATATAATATATCCCTAATACATGTTATATTGATTTTATTTTAATAAAATTATAGTAGCTGTTTTGGAAGCAACTTGTTAAACACACTTACCAGAAGCTAATCCAATAGTCAACACCTACGGCGCTAGCAGTAGCCAGTGCAACGGCAAGAAAAGTGTACAGTATAAACAAAATGCTGCCTCCCGAGCGGAAGTAGGAAGCTATGACTTCCCATTTCAGGTTACCTGAAGCTCTTACTTCATCTTCCATCTTTTGAGCTTCGAAATTCGGTAACTCTTCTCCTCCCTCAGTGATACTAGCTTGAGCCTTGAGACGAGGTCGTTTCTCTTCACCCTAATTAAAACAAGCAAACATTCACACATTTTAAAAATGTTATATGTCTATCTGTCTGTTACGAACAACATATCGAACTACGGAGAAACTATTAACCCTGTGTCGTGAATTAAAAGTCCTCGCGCCGATTAGTATTTAAGTCGTGGCCAGATCACAGGATCGATCACTTCATAATGTGGTCCACCATTTCATGAAATATTCTTATTTCAAGATATGGCTATATCTCACCATAACTTTTAAACGTCAACTTGTGCAAATGTTTTAATTTACGTTAACCTCATAATATTAAATACAAACTCAAATCATATTATTTATTTATTACATGGTTTATTAAATAACTAACTGTAAATTTTGCGACTTACAGTGTACATTGATTACAAGCCGCAAAGGTTTTCTATAAATGCCTTATGTACAAGTATAATTAGGTTTCTGTAATTATTGTTAATATGATACTTAAAAAAACATAAACGTTTATCCATAGTTATCATTAATTTAGTGTTTTGATGTCAAAGGGTTTAAGGAAAGTTCTAAATAAACTAGGAACTTATACATTGTTCTCTTAAGTTGGGTAAAACCATACTTCACTGCAGTTTTATTTTATTTTATTCGCTTTTAAAAGACAAGAGCTATCCGCCTCCGTGATGTTTTACATAAACAAAATAATATGAGACATCCAGCAGTGGGTAATTTAACTATTTTAGGAAATGATCACAAATTTTTACCATATCATATTATTATGTTGTTCGTTTAAAAGTTTATTACTCAATGATCTGTCCAGACCGCATCATTACAGAAAACCCTGATTAAAAAACTTATTTTGTTTATGGTATAGGCACATGAGTTGATGAACGGAACAGAGATAAAGCTTTATATGTACAACCGCGTGAATCGGTTGCACTACTACAAGCACGCGGGGCATGTTTGCGAAACCACTGGCCGCTTATGGCGTACGCGGCGAGACTGAAAAAAAATGCGACGCACGTTGTTTGTTTTGTTAGTTGCAAGTTTGAGTATTTTAATATAAAACACGTGGTATTTTATTATTAATAATATCTCGTAAAAATATATCCTACTTTAACTATCCCTACTAGTCTCTAAGTGCACCATCTTCATAGAATGGGAGGAGTGGGTTTGGGATCCGGTAGTCTCACTCACTCGGTGAAAAGCAACGAAACGAACCGGTCCATATGTAGTAGAACCAGATGATTTTGATTACCTTAGATCTTTATATGAATCTATTGCTGACGATACATAAAATACATTCTGTACATTATAAAATGAAATCTTATTGCTCACCTTTGACCCCATGCTATCAGTGTCCTTATCTTTACCCTCTTCTAATGAAGACAGCAGCATTGCGAATTCTTTACCTGAAGACACGAGCTCATCGTATGTACCCATGTTTTCTATCTGCCCCTGAGAAAATAATCAGGTTTTAAGTTATTATGGACAGTGAAGCATGTCACACGGTCTTCCCTGAATCGCTCAGAACTTTATGCCTGTATAATAATACCGTGCAGACCATATTCGGTCACGGCGACTTGAATCTGAATAATGATCGTTCGCACGATCGTCGCTTCGTTGATGTGCTCTCAGGTGGCTGAGATACCCGATATTTGCCATTAACGTGCGTCCACATTCGCTGCAAGTCAGCACCCATCCCCCTCTCCAAATTATTGTAATGTATGACCGCCACTGGTCAGGCCTTGAGCTCGTCCCGTTTGGCATCGAGCTCTTCTTTCCATAGATAGCCTATCTTATAGAAAATTGCAAATGAAAATGTAAAGTACAACTAATACAAACTTCATTTAAAACGATGATATAGTCGGCAGCTTTTAAGGAAGTGAATCTGATGTGTGACCAGAATTCTTGTCGTGCCTAGAAGATATCCGTTGATACATCCTTCGAACAACTGACGGCCGACGTTAGCATCCACAGCTGACAGAGGATCATCCAGTAGATAGATATCGGCCTGCAAAGTTATAACTTTATATTTACAGGTATTAGCTAAATATTGTTAGTTGGATAAATTAAAATTTTAAAACTAAATTATATATTTTCAAAAAATATTATAAATTTATGGATGTTTCAGTAGAAGATTAACTAAAAACTGAGTGTTTAAGATAAAAAAAAAAAAATAAGGTGCGCTAGTGTATTTTTAGGAAAATATTCTAAATAATGCCTAGAATTAACCACAATACTTAGGTTTTGTTCTTATATATTAGATATTTCTATATTATTTTGAAAATATTTATATTTGTAGAGGTTAGCTTAACCTAATATATTTTTTTATAATTATTAATTATTTCATTAAATTCAGTATACCTAAAAGTGTTATATTAAGAACTTTTTAATTAGTAGACCCTTCTACTTGTTAGTTTTTCTTAATATAAAAATAATAAAAACTTCACACATCTCATATACAGTGCATTCTGATCCTAAACTAGGCAGACCTTGTGCTATACTAACCAGACTGCTGTTAAACATGCCTAAACATTTTTAAATAAACACTATAGATACATTATATCACACAATTTTTTGTCCTAGGTGGGAGTCGTACCCACGACCTCCGGCCTAGCAGTCAGGGCCACTAACCACTAGACCAACAGGCCCGTCATACCAACGCCGCCCGTCATATTAACATACTTTGATGGAATTTTATTTAATTACTTTATAAAACCATTAGGAACATACTACTCCACTCGAGAAAAATTTAAGTATTTTATGCTTCCGGAACATTATAATACATTTTTAATGTGTTATTTGAATATATACACCCTTATTTATACTTTCAAGGATGCAATTTAAGACCAAAGTTTAACACCTACCGCTAATCATTATAGTACCTTAGGCAAATTACTTTGGAGTTGTAATTTTTAAAGGAGTTTTACGAAAAACCTCAAAAATAATCGTTTATTCAGATAAAACAGATAAATCACATGCTTGTCTTAGAAATGGAATCACATCGGTTTGGAGATGGTAGGAGATCCGAACTCGCTATAATTTAATCGCAAGTCTAAAAAGAAGAAGATCCACCCACCAGAACGATACTAACAAACGGCAAAATAACAAGTATTTGCAAACTAAATACCTACATAGATATTTTTCTGCTAAGTTTAAGTCCAAAAAGTATTAAATTTCCATTTAAGAAAAGTCTCAATTTTTTTTTTTATAGAGTAAGGAGTCACGTAATATCTACATTTTAAACAATGAAGACGTTGTTAGTAAAAAGAACTCGTTTAATTATAATCGTCCAAGGTTGTATCAAATAAATGTGAAGTAGTTATTTAAAGTTATTTGTGCAAACATAATATTATAATGAGTTGGTGAATGGCATTGAATGTGCCTTTAACTTTGAATGAATATTATATAATGAAATGTCACATTTTTGTAAAAGCTTTTTTGCTATTGCGACTAAAACTAACGATAGCAGTTGAACTTCCTTATTTTTATGTATTTCAGCCGCTTTTTCATATAACACAAAATTTTGTAATTACTGCGTTTGTGAATTAAAATATCATATTAATATTCATCTGCAAGAGTTGTCTTCTTTTTTTCTATAATTATTATGTCAGTCATATGAGTCATTAAAAGATGTCCAACAACATCTTTTAATAACTGCCGAACCCAGTGGAAATTGGCCTGAACCCACGTATGGCCTTTAGCTCTGTGATCTTTAGTAGGTTAATCTGCCCATCTGGTTGATAGACGTCCATCAGCCATCCATTCTGCTTGTTATCCGATCTGCCCATTTCCATTCCAATTTACTTTCTCAGACGACTGTATCAGTATTTATCGATGGCGTATCTCTTAATTTCTGATTCATTTACATTTGACTAAACCTTTTTGTCCATGTTTATTTTAAAACGGGATGGGAGAATCCATTCAGATTTTGGAGAATTTTATTCAAATTTTTAATCAATTTGTCTAAGACAACAAACAAATATCGAAGATAAATTATGTATTCGCCGTTAATTTAGATGCAGCACAAAAATATGGCGTGCAATGGGAGAGGCTTATGTCCAGCAGTGGACTGCGATAGGCTGATGATGATCATGATGACAAAAATATGTTCTAACATTCAGTTAGTACATGGAAACTTAATATATTCGACGTATGGCTTCGAAATTAAATTCGACAGTATAAGCAGTAACGAATGTTATTGCTTATACTGTCGAATTTAATTTGTCGAATAAAATTATGTGTTAATTTAGAATGTTAAAATATTTTTTCTAATTTCATTCTGTTCATCGTCCTATTTGAATAATCCATTTATTGAATTCATAAATGTAGGGTAGACTTGAGATTTTGCCTCAATATTCTTTTCGAAATAAAATAAAATCTTAGGCTTTAATATTTAACAATAAAATAAGAAAAGATTAATTTGTTCTGTACCTAGGTGTTGTATTGTACCTTTCTAAGGAGAGGCTCATGTCCAGCAGTGGACTGTCAAAGGTCGTTGATGATGATCTACGTGTAATTTATCTATAATCTATATGAGTTTATAATAATTATGTTTAAAAACAGTTTGGTTACGATAGTACTGGTTTTGTCTATTTAGAAACAGACGGCTATGTGTGAGATGTGTTAGGTTAGTATTATCATTATTTAAAGGAATGGTAATGTTTGTCAAGCACTCTCTAAATTATTTTAAATCATTTCAAAACAAAACAAAAATGTTTAATAGAAATGAATTGTAATTGAAAGATATGACGTGACAAAAGAAGTTATTGTAACAATTTATTCATGCATTGTCTGAATAAATTGTTACAATATTGCCTGAGGCAAATTGTTCATTTAAGAACAGTCTATTTTTGTGCAACAAAACAGAAAACAATTTACCTCTCTGTAAACAGCGCGGGCTAAATTGATTCTGGCTCGCTGCCCCCCCGAGAGGGACGCACCCCTCTCGCCCACCAACGTCTGGTCCCCGTATGGGAATTGTTTGAAGTCTTTCTCCAGAGCACATGCTTTGCACACCTAAAAATAAATAAAATATTTAGTAGGTATATTAAATTTTTCGTAAATTAAATAAATGATTGCATTATTCATGTAAGATAAGTAGAACATATCTCATAAGTATTTAGAGTAGTTAGACTACCAAGAATGGAAAGTTAGTATTTACTAGACAAGAATTAACAAAAATTAAACACGAATTAAAAATAACTACGGAACACTAACACAACTACTAACAAATATATCTTTCTTAAACAGCGATTACTATTACACTTTCCTTGTACTTTTAAGTAAATCCATTTTGAAAGATATTTAGTATTAATGTTTATTACGTTAACTTTTAAGTAAACGGAACACTTCGTATAATTATACTATGTTCTAAGATTATCTTTACTATTAAATACATCTCTGGACTCTCCGTTAAGTCAAACATTTATTTTGGAACGGAACCTATAAATAACGTATGTACTTCAAAACAATTCAATCTGCATCAGTTTAGTTTCAACATTTAAAAAGTTAATGTGTCAGTTAAGCGATCGATGACACACTTCCCCCTATCTACTCGGATATCGGTGACCAAAATACTCCAAGAAAGATACGCAATGCAAATGATATTTCATTCACCTTCTTATATTTTTGTGGATCAAATGGTGAACCGAAAAGAATATTCTCTCGGACAGTGTCAGGAAACAGCCACGATTCTTGGCAGGCGTACGCGATCGTGCCATTTATTGAAACAGTGCCAGTCGCTGCAGGCAATTCTTTTAGTAGTAGTTGCAAAATTGACGACTGAAATTAAAAAACAAATTACTTATATTTATTTTTATTTCAGTATACTTTTACAAAAATATTATATTATAAAACATATCAGGATTACGCTTTCACGCCTAAACCAGTAAACCGATTTAAAAAATTATTTCACCAATGGAATGCTACATTATAAGCGAGTAACATATTGTGTGGTTTAATAAAAAGGCAGATGAATCTACTGAAAATCCTCTAACTGTAATTGCAATTAATATTATTTTAACGGGAATTAACGCGATCTGTTATTTAGGGTATGTAATACCCTAAATAAGAGATCGCGTTAATTCCCTTTATCTAATACGTAAAGAGTACATTTATAGTATGAATTATCATTTTTTATCTTCTGGTACATATCACATAGTTATATCACATCTATCAAATTACTCAAATTGGGGCCAAGGATGTAACGTAAACTACAACATAATTATAGTCTTGTTTCTTATATTAAACAAGTTGCAAAATAATATAGCTTGGAAGATTAGATCTTTTCTTTTTTTTTAGTTAGGAGCCACGAATATTAAACCAAAAACACAAACCTTGCCAGAGCCCACAGCTCCAATGACGGCGCACAATTTTCCTTTACGAATTCGAGCAGAGATGTTTTTAAGTGCTAAAATATTTGGATCTCCTACCCAACTTGCTGATACATCGTGAATAACTACTGCTGTATCATCTATACACGAGACACTCTTTCTAAACTTACGAATCGATGGCTGTCTAGTAGCTACTACTTTGCTTTCTGTGAAATGTAAAAACAAAAAGTAGTGTTGATTACATTGGGTATATAGTTTAGATCTTCAGATATTAACGTAGTAAGAATTAATTTAATTCCTTTTAAAGTATCAAAGCACCAACAACCTTCTTTCTTTTATTGGGCAGTATTTTCTTTGAGTCTATCTGTCGCCCTAGCAGAAGCAGGCCGATTCCAAGCGCCCGCGTGTGCTTTAATTTGTAGAATGAGAACACTGTGGTTCGACAACATGAGGGGTCATTTATATGCCGTAGATGGCCTAGGGTACGTCGGCGTGCTATGGATTTCCTACCTAGGGTACACCTGGTCCCCGGCTACTCGTAACTGAGACGGCGTGCGGTTTTTAGTCGGTTAGGGTCCGACATAACCACCGAAGGGTGGTATCCGATGGAATTTCCGCACAGAAAAAAGAAGGTCATGTTCCCAATTTATAAAAATGTATGGATCTCATTATTTTTAATTTTTATAGATAGCTGGATTTTAAAATTTAATTATCATCCCTCGCAAATATACCTAATAAGAGGGTATACTCGTAAATGGGCTTAACTTACCAGTGGGTGGAATTGTTTCAGGGTTCTGACGATAGGCGAGTATCTTAACAGGTTCTGACCCTAAAGAGCCATTTTTTTCTGACATATTTCGGAACAGGTGAGATGTTTGCATGACATCAGCAACTTCAGTCAAGTCAGAACGATCGTCTGCAAATTAAAAATGAAGACATTATTGGATATGTATGTCTGTAAAGCTTATGTTACTTGCTGATAATGTAGGTTTCCATTGGTGAAAGATTTAGACGTGAAAGCGTAACTAACAAACTGACTTTCACACATACACGAGAGGTAAGCGGCGGGCAAAAGCTAGTATATTATAAATGTGAATGTAAGCTTGTTTGTTACGCTTTTACGCCTAAATGATTAATATTAAAAAAAAACCTTTAGACTTATTTTTATATTTTTTGTATAGCTTTGAATTTGACTTAGATTTAAGGAAAATCTCCAATCGTATAGTCTTAACATATTAAAAATTTGTAATTAGATAATGTAACAGGATGTAAACGAAGTTGGACAGTAGAAGTCCCTTTAAAATCCATGAATGTTTATTTTATATGAAATCAGTTCGTTGAAAGAGATAACATCAAATAAGTGCAAGGTCTGGTGAGTACCAAGCAACCAGCTTTGGGCAATCGGTCGTCCCCACTGCTCCTTCACGACAACGCGCGACCCCATACTGCGCAACAGACAGTCTCCAAGCTGCAAGAGCTGGGGTTGGAAGCTCTCCCTCATCCGCCATACTTACCAGACCTTGCACCTACCGACTATTACTTTTTCCAAAATTTAGACAACTTTTTAGTGGGTAAAAAATTCAATTCCCGAGAGGAAATACAAAATGCCTTTGAAGAGTTTGTTGCCTCCCGTCCAGCTGATTTTTACAAGAAGGGCATCAATAAACTGCCAATGCGTTGGCAAAGATGCGTCGATTGCATGGGTGATTACTTCGAATAACAGAAATAAAAAAGTTTAAAAAAATAAGTACTTTCACTTATTGCATACAAAACGGCAATTTCATAGGTAAAGACCTATTAAGAAGCAAAACATTGCAATGCGATTTCAGATAAGATCTTCAACAATCCTACTAAATAAACTTTGCGTTACACAGCTCCGACCCGAACTTTTGGTATTGTACTAAGTATAAGGTATTTGGCGGCGTATTTCAACGTTTGGGTATATTTCCACATAACCTTAAAATATGCCGCTTATATCAGAATGCAAGGCTCGTAATGGTAGTCGTCATTGCTAATTTTTTAAACAAAAAAGCTAAATTTACATTAAATAAAACAAGCCAGCTAAGTGGAAACTCGTGTGATACAGATGACTTTGATCATAGATATACAAACAGACCAGCCCGTACTCTCAACAATTTAAAATATTATGGATACTTTCTATTGACAATTCGGATATAAAATTGGGGGGCACATACTGATCGAATCATCAGTTATCTTACTTACTATTAGTATACTTTATTTAAAAGAAATCAAAACATTTAAAGTTTAGAAAAAATAAGGTTGTACCTTCTCAAAATATAATCTTGTCTTAGTCGTTCGCAAATTAACAATACAATAAGTTCATAATTTAGTTTTTCGAATTCACTACACGGTTTTCATAAAAATAACAAAAATGTTAGCGATTGTCTTCAAATAGCACAAAATAAAGTAGCTTTTTTGTGTTGTACGCTTAGATCTTTTAAACTATGCAACGGATTTTAATGCAGTTTTCGCCAATCAGATCAATTATCATCATCAACAGCCCTCAATAGTCCACTGCTGGACAAAGGCCTCTCCTTAGAAAGGAGGTTTTGGCCTACTATATCACGCCTGCCAGACGGGTTGGTGTCAAGTTTTCCTTATTTTTGCAGTGCTGGTGTCCTGCGTTGTTTTGCGCCCTTAGTCGGCTCTTACGACACCCACGGGATGAATTGGGGTAGTTACATTCCGTATTCTTAATCCGTCACTACACTGACATTTTTCACTTAAAAAGATCTACAAAATAGTCCGCCATGGTATGCGTCTATTGCCTGGATAACCCACACTTACGGATTATTTACGAAGCTATTTTAAGCAATATATCAGTATTAATTATCCAAAATTAAATTCCTTAGATACGTTGTGCATTTAATGTAGATTAAATTGCTCTTTACAGTATATTATTAACAAAAATATTTTAGAAGATATTAGAGACCGTAGCCGTTCCGTCGCGGATGGCAGCAGCCGGCAGGTTCGGAGCGAGCCTATAAATATTGCATATAAAGGTGTTTTGTAGTATAGCCCTATCATAATAATAGTATAATTAATTACTCCACACTGACACCACATTAGTAGTATTAGTAGTATGTATATTGCACCCGTGAGAAGCCGTGGCCAAATCGCTAGTATTTTAATAAATTATAGTTTAAAAAAAGTAAAAAACAGAAAAAAATTATTTTATCGTAGAAATGCGTGTGATTCATTTTATTCGTAAAAATTCGTGGGGTGCTGGATTTCAATTGTTGTAAAAATATTTTATTGACATATCAGTAAAAGTAAAGTTAATATATTATAAAATATATGGAAAAACACGCCACGCTATTTACGTCAATCATAGAGAAAAAGAAAACTACTTTTTAGTTCGCCCAGTTACAAGTTTTATTGTTTTTTTTTTAAACTATTATTTATTTTTGCATTTTTAGTCATTAATGGTGATTATTTTCTCATTAAGAATAAAAAAAATAACAAGTAAGTAAGTCAGATATGCTTCAGCACATGCATCTTAGTACGCAACAAAACCTATGTACTTACTTAACTTACACTACCGTATTTTTAGGTATGGAAAAAGCCGCTATTCCTGAAGATCCTGATCAGGATAATCGGCCAAATTTATGAAATTATTGCGAAGTTTCAATTTAATTCAATTTTGAAGTAGTTCAAAATCACATTCGAAGATTCCGTTACACACATACATACATACCAAGCTAATGAGGCATGTTAGAAATACATACCCATGTGCAAAAACTTCTCGATTCTGTTGAGTGAGACAATCATTTCTGCAGTAAAAGACAGCACCATTGGCAACAATCTTGTTAAGTTCACTTGGACTGCAGCCAGCAATTGTTGTAGGGGGTAAAACTAAAAAAATTGCCTTTTTTTATATGGAATATGGAAAAAGAGCAAGAGAGTTTAAAATATGCATTATGCATATTATGTAGGCAAAAATCTAAGCCTAGCTCAGAAACTTTAAGCTAATATTTTATGCGTAGTAGAATAAAATGCCGGAATACTTACCACATTAGCAGTCAAACTGTTACCGGTTAATATGAATACAAGCACAGAAAAGAAGAGAGACAGTCTGTCAGTGAACAACATGAAACCCAAGAATATTGTCCTTAGTATTGTAGCTGTTCTAACTTCCTTCAGTTCAGCCTTACGTTGCTCTGCCACTACTTTCTGAAATGGTATCTCCCACGCATACATTTTTATAACCTGAAATGATCACAATACGTTTAAAAATGTATACAAAGATTATATCTAATACACATCACAATTAAGAAACTGCTTACCAAAACTCATAAAGTCTAAAAAATCAATACTTAACAAGTCTGAATTTATTTGACGTGGAAATTGTTACACGAATTTTATTTTCAAATGATGAAATGTTTGCAAATTAATAAAAAGATAATGTTATTGCACGCAAAGAAAAGATATTTGTAAACGACTGGATTAACTCATATTAATAATTATTATTGTACTCACCTGAATTCCGTTGATAACTTCGCTCATAACTTTAATTCTCTCATCTGTTTTACCAGCATTACGGAGTCGTACCTTACCCAGCAGATGACTCACGAAAGCTAAAAAGTTATATGAATAAAAAAATACAATATATATTTTTTTATTTTAAAATATATTTTATATCATATATACCTAATATATTATGTCATTTTTAAAATAAAAAAAGTAAATATCGAAGTTCAGCCGAATCATAGCAGACTTTAAGCCCAGGTTTGGAAAAAGGTGAAAAGGGGTGAAATGTAACTAGTAAAAATTAATCGACAGGGATACAATTGGTATTACTTAAATCAAACAAACAATTATCGTACTTACAACAAGGTCAGGCACCCGTTTAGAAGTTAATATAATTAATTCAAAATGTACATACGAGTACGTTAGGAATACCAGATGTCCTCCTCGCCATTTTAACAACCGTTAGAGCTACATTTAGACAAGTTTGACGATTCAAAACCGAAATTTAAGATATTTATTGACTGAAATATTTGTATTACATACGTCAGAATCAAATCACACCCTAGATCAAATTATATCATGAAATTTGAAAATGATCATTACTGAAAAAAGCTTTAAACTGAACTAGTTGTGGTTTATTTTTAAACTAACCTTGAATAGGAAGTGCAAATATGACCAACGTAGCGAATGCAAAGAAAGCTGAAATGCCAGCTTGACTATATGCAAGGTATATTACAACGGCCACTTGTAAGGGGATGATCCAGCCGAAATGAAGATAGGCGAATGTCATATCAAAGCGCTGCATGTCATTGGACAATAAATTCACCACTTTACCGGCAGTCGTGTCACCAAGGCAACTATTATCCATACGCATTATCTGAAATCATGATATGCAAACATTTATTTGGTAAAAAAACTAATGCGAAGAGATAATCAGTTAAAAGATAAGTTAAAAGATGGACAAGTGGGAACAAGAAATTATTTTTTTGAGCTCAAAGCCGATAGAAGGTTTCTGAAAACCGCTGCTTTCACTACAGTATTCACGGTATCAGAGTAGTTTCAAATGAAATTACAAATAACCAAAAGTAACTTGCATTTATTTGTTTATACTTAAGTTACAAAATAAAAAATATTTTACTGCATCTTTTTTTCTCCTTGCATCGAATAACCCTAGGTGTATTATTGGATAATTATAAGTATAACAATGTGTTTTCAAAGGTTATAGGGATAGTCATGGCGGCTGTGTCAGACAATATTAGCTCTTATACTTGTGAGTTAATGTAATTTAAAAATTTGTTAATATTTAGTATATTGCTCTTTAGTTTATTGTTTTGATTGCTATTAAGTAATTTGCTATTCTTACACTACTACATTACAGTAAATGCTATGTATACCGTAATTGTCATACATATCAGATATAATGTCACATATTGTTAAAATTTGTTTTAAGTAAAATGCTTATGACGTAGTAGTACTTATTAATAAATAAATAAAAGATACAAGATATCTATCCCTAGAACAAAATAAGTCAGTGTAATTTCTTGGCAATATCAGTTTATTTATATTTTTTGTTTAAAGTTATGTAGTCTAGCACCGGGACTATTCCCATTAAATTTTAAACTGGATATGAAATTAAATCATTACTACTGGATATCGAGAAATACATCAACCGAGTTCTCTCGGCACGAGTATGATTTGGACATAGCTAAATTGGTAACTAAAATCGAAGAGTTATCTTCAACTTACGTTATTAAATATAGACTGATATATATAAATGAATACATATAACAATAACGAACAATTAAAAAAAATGCCATACCTTTCTAAACATCAGTGAACTAGTAGCAATTCTAATTTTCATACCAAACTGCTGACAGAGTAGAAAGCTTTGGTGGACGAAATAGGAAGCCAGCCAGTTGGCTAATATCATACCGAGTGCGTAATACGTGGCATCTACACGGGTCATCGTTGAATCTACCGACCAATGTCGTAACAATTCAGCAAACAGCAACGGTGACGCTGTTCTGTTGACAACATTTACAATAATATAACCAACAATATAAAAAACCACTCAGAGTTCCTGTAAGTGCGTTCGCGAAGTTACCCGAGGCCCAACCACCCCCGTAAAGGTTGACAACCCACTTGTATCTATTGTAGGCGTCCATAGAGAGCGGTACTCACTTCACCACTTTCCCTTTCACACTAGGTGATGCATCTGCTCGTTAGGCTCCATACAATACCATAAAACAAATATAATTCATTATTGTATTATAAGTATCCATATTATTATAAAATTAGTATTGTTAATTCATCTTGAGTAATTCAACGACAATTTACAATGAATGTCTACTTAAAGAATTCGTATGGTGAACCGAACGCAAACCAGCAGATTGTAGTGAAAATATCGTCAGAATATTAACACTTTTAGTCATTGATACGACAAACATAGCAGCGATCTTGTTCTGACAGAACAGCTGGCTTGTTTATATACTTGCTTTTATTGTGTTAGTATGCCAGTATAATTTTCGAGGAAAAAATATTTCGTGAGACGACTGAAAAACTTGAGATTGGAAAACGTACTGTATTGCGGACAGAATGCGCGATGCACACCAGCCTACATCTAGCCTCACGGTAGGAGGCACTCGCATCGGCATCGAGCCCTCGATCAGGTATCTGGGGCTCGTAATCGATAGCCGATGGGACTTCGGATATCATTTCCGAGGTCTAGTCCCCAAGTTGGTTGGGGCAGCGCGTTCATTGGCGCGGCTGCTGCCCAACATGAAGGGACCCGATGACTCCTGCAGGAGACTCTACTCGGGGGTTGTGCGGTCCATGGTCCTTTACGGGTGCCCAGTATGGACCGGGGCCCTGAGGGCCAGCAACGTCGGGATACTGCGACGACCGCAGCGAGTGCTGGCCATCAGGATCATAAGGGGGGTACCGCACGATCTCCTTTGAGTAGGAGCCAACGCCTGAGTGACACCACTGCGATGGCCAGACCGTGGACGGCTCTCCACACGCTGGCGGAGTGCCCGTCGTGGGTTGAGCAGAGGCGAGACCTCGTGGCGGCCATAGGAGTGGGAGTTCTCTCGCTCGATAGCCTGATTGCGGCTATCGTGCGGAGCGAGAGTGCGTGGAACTCTGCCGTCTCCTTCTGCAAGCAAGTTATGCTCGCGAAGGAGACGGCGGAGCAGGACCGGGAGAGGTTTAGAACTCTCCCGGGACGCCAGGCCCAGGAACGGGCCAGGTACCGCAGGCGACTCAGGCGCCGGAGGTCGCAGAATGACCTACGTCCTCCATAAGCGCAGGCCTGGGGATGACAGGTGAGGCCATCTGTCACCCTAGCAGGAGCAGGCCGGGGTGTCGGAGAGCGCGTTGCGAAGCGCGCTCGCTTCCAGGGAGCAGAGGGAACATGGGGTTCCCACACGGGGGGGGGTCGTCTACTCGTTTGTAGATGGCCCGAGGTATGTCGGGGCACCAGGGACTTCCTTTCTAGGGTATACCTGGTTCCCCGGCTATTAGTACCCGAGACGGCGTGCGGTTTTAGTCGGTTCGAGTCCGACATGCCACCGATAGGGGGTATCCGAGGGGATTTCCGCACGGAAAAAAAAAGGGTACTAGTGAAAATCTCTTCAAAATACTAATACCTCTAGTCATTGGTGCGACAAACATATAGCATTATAGATCTCGCAGCGATCTTGTTCTGACATGACAGTCGGCTTGTTTTTATACGTAATTTTATTGTGTTACTAAACTAATAATAAATAAATAAATCTTTCGTGAATGATATTTATATATATCAAAGAAATACGAATTTACTGAAGAGTGTGTATTTTAGACACCGCACGCTTTAGCGACCCCCCTTAATACAGAGGTCCCGTTGGGCACGAATCTTCTCAGTGAAATTGAAATGCAGATGTGAGTAAACCCGTATTTCTTTAATTATTAGTATCGTAATTTCACTTTTATTTAGTAAATATGATTATATTTGAAAAAGATTTCAAAAAGACGAGACTCATTTTGACGGAATATCACACCCACTTAACTTCATAATACATTGTTAACAACAACATGTTATTATTGTTTTCCTTATAAGTGCAATATAGTTTGAATTTTATCAAAATATATTTCTTGGGTTGACAATTATTTCACTGTTAACTAATATTTCTTTGAGTGATATTGTATAAAATGTCACTTGATGAAATATTATTCCTTTACTTGGATGAAACATAAATATTATGGCAAAAATGATTTATCTTTTTTTTTATTCAACTTACTGTAAAACAACAGATATTAACAGCATGAGCCCACCGAGCCAGTAGGACAATATAAATGTCTTAGTTAACACTCGCCAAAGTCTTGGTTTAGTACCAGTCAGTCTTGATTCTCTCTCCGCTTGTAACCAATTTCTGTGAATAAATAATAATAAACATAAGCAATAATGAAAGCAATATAAAATCAGTGTGCATTTGCATTGAAACTATTAATTTAATTAAACTGAAAAATTTGTCCCTTTGGTAGTAAGACTATGACACTATAAAATGTAATTATCTCTGCTAATGTTACGGATAGATACATTAGGAGGGGTAGCTGGAACAGGCAAACTAACGCATCTATCTACATGAAGCGTAATTATTGTGCTTTTCACCGCTGTGATTAGTATTTGACAAGCTGAAGAAAATAAACTTGTAAGACTATTTTTATAAGCCGTATATTTTAATTAACTATTTATGATCTATGATCACCATTCGAACCGAGTATTATATATTATCAGGCATTAGCGGCAGTGCCTATAGATATTGACAATGAAGAATTTTATCAAATTATGCCAATGACTCAGCTTAGCAGCAATTGGTAAATGGCTGAACTACTTCTTTTGTCTATGGATTTATCAAGTTTAAATAATTCATATTATTCCTGGCGCGCCAATATATACACATACAGTAAAACTTGATTAACTGAAATTTAGATAAGTGAGAAACCTCCATAGCTTTGAAACTGATCCTGAAGATTGGAACCTAGCAACCAACAACAACAATAATCAACAGCCAACATTCGAAGATTTTAAAAACATCGAAGTGGATTTAATAGTTTCAGGAGAATTTACTGAAAACGACCTTGTTCATGCCTTCTTCATTGGACAATGGAGAAGATGATGACGAAATGGGTTCGAAAATAAATTTAATAAAAAATTCTAAGCGTAAAGCAATAAAAGCACTAGAAACTGCGCCGTTATTTTGAGATGTCAACAATTGGTGAACAAAACATATTTGATAAAATTTATAGCATTGAAAAATATCTTATAGATACTTCCAAAAGACAGATTTAAATGACAGATTTTTATAATTTACTCATTCTGTTGATGACTGCAATTTTTGTACTGTTTATAAAAAATGTGCATAATTATTTTTGTTTATTAACTTTTTTTATGACATTTTGTACTAATAAACATTACAACTCATGTTGTATAATGTTTACATAGTACATTATTTTATTTAATAATCGCACCTCTCTAACTGAAATAACCTCTATTCTCACCTCTAATGGGACCCTCTGTAGATGAGACAGATATATCTGGATATCTGAGACACTTAGTAAGTGGAATACCTCTTTAAGTGAGACAAACTCGCAAGTCTCTGAATGTCTCAGTTATCCAGGTTTAACTGTAATAACAAAATATCCTGAGTAACAATTTATTGCTATCGCGCCGATATATACATATAATAAAAAATATGCTGATTTCTTATTTTTTGGGCCCAATTAGTATTAATGAGATAAGATTACTACACTTTATACCTATAATACAACATTGACTTTATTATTTTACAGTTATGATAATCTAAGTAGGTACCTATATATTTAATTGATTAGATAGATATAAGTCCAATAAGGGAATTATTGTAGATTTAGAATTTTTGTCGTAGGGTCATATTGGTATCATATGACAAAACTATTTATTTCTTGCAAATGTTTAAGTTGTGTACTATAATGTGTTTATATTTATATTACGTGGATTACTTAATACAGTTTGCTGCAGTATTAACTTTAAATATTGACTGATAAGACTAAGATGTACTTATATATTGTTTAAATGTTCTTATTTTTCTAGTCAAAAATAATTTTCTTAAATATATTGTGTATAGTATTTTCTGTATTGCTGACTATTTTCTTGCCATCCGTTATAGTTCGTTATATTCTATTCATAAAATTTGTGTTTGTTAGTTTCATTTCTACGCCGCCTTGTTTACTGAGCTCAATCAATTATTTGAACGTGATCTGACAAAAGTTCCCAAAATGTAGATGGCTTAGATATTACCTATCAATTTTTAGACCCTTTTCTTTCTAAACTAGTAAAACGATTCGGGAAAAAGGGAATGCTCTGTCTCAAGCACCTCTCAATGAAAAAACTAGGACTCCAATTTTACTCTACCTGTATTGTTAATACATATGGTTTATGCAGAGTATTGTATATGATGAGCTTTTTAAAAGTATAGGGTTACTGGGTAAGTCGACCTAAATACTTTAAGGGGTTGTAGTTGCCATTATTCCTGATAGATGGGGTTGTATGCTAATTCTTAACCGCCCCGGTCTTTCATCTAAGTTTTTTTTGTGAATCCTGATACTATCCTAGACTATTATACCTTGTTAGATAGCTGAGAATACGTACATGTTTTTTAACAAATCTGCACTTTAACTTTCATAGATTTTTTATAATATTTGTCAAATAAATATCTTTTTTTACAAACGTTTGTTTATTTTTCCTATTATTAATCTACTACTTCGATCTATCATCTACTTCGCCCCAGTTTGTTAAGTTAACTACAATTTTAGTAATTTACATTATAAAACCATTACTATCGACTACACAAAAACAGTAAAAAAACATAAAATAAAGGGTGTAAGTTCTAAAAAAATTGTATTAGGCAAAATTTCGGTGACTTTTATAAAAAATCTTAAAAGTTCAATATCTTGAAAATGGGGATAAGGTATTTCTTAGTGAAATTTCTCGGAAATGATGGTAACTACAACCCCTTAAAGTATTTAGGTAGACTTACCCAGTATCCCTTTATAAAGCAATGAATCGAGTTCGCTTCTTTTGTTGATACTTTAAGATAAGTAAATCCAGAGTGTAAATATCGTCAATTGTAGATTATTTCTAAATCTGTTTGTTCAATGGGTTATAACTAAAAGTACCTCATTAAGAAGGATGTTCTAGCATTGACGTAAAGCCGAGTATTTTACTCGAAAATGATATTTTATAGGACAGTGTACGTAATCATGAATAATTGTTTCGTTTATTTGTTTAGTTACAAACTAATAATAGATGCACTTTATCACTGGGGTAGAAACTAGAACTTTAGTACACGCACCCTCACACTTGAAGCAGGACTAGGACAGCAGTGGACGACAAAAATGCTAATAAGTTGTATTTTTTATCAATATTACATTTAAGAACGAGGCGACCCGCCCCGCTTGCAATGCTGATACTAAATATACTACAGAATGTCTATATATACAACGTTCACAGCTTTTTGTCTTGTGTTGCACATGTTTTCTTTAGAGGTTCTCTTGAAAGAGCGACATACAATTGGCCATGTAAAAACCCCCAACGCTCAAATCTAAACCATTAATTAATAAGGTTCAAAGAGTTAAGAAATTCTGTAGGAAAATGAACGGCTTTTACCAAATCGAGAACAGTATCGACCGAGTGGTATATTTACGTCGGCGCATCAATCTTAGAAATAATCAAGTTAATGTACAAGTAAATAAGGTAAATACCTTATTTACTTGTTCGTTAGTTGGTGACAGAATCGCTCTTTCTTTAAACCAACATATTGTGTTACAACTTATGTTATCAATGTAGGGATAAACATTGTTGACCAACTCTTAGATATTATCTATCAAAACACATAGGTTTTTTATTTTAATTCCTTCCATCACTTTGTGTTAACTCTCCATTGCTAACTTTTAGCAGAATCTCTGAAAAAAGCCTGTTCTCAATGAAAACAATGAAGACAATGAAACCCTCATGTTAGTTTTAAGCTCTAATTTATTGACGTGTGGCCAATTGGATATTTTTAGGGCAGCATTAATTTCGTCGGCACATGTTCCTTAAGTCACAACTGGTAGGATTTGACGAAAGTCTCCTGAGAACAGAATTGTGCATCCACCCATAGGTGAATTTTTACCGCGCAAATCGCGCATTGTTCTATCCAGTGCTTCCACAGACGTCTTGTTTGACATGGTGGCTTCGTCCCACACTATTAATGACCAGTCACACATTAATTTGCCTACAGACGCTGTTATTATCGTCGTTGGCGATATTCAGCGGGAGCTTGAATGACGAGTGTGCGGTTTCGGCCTCCTTCTAAAAGCGTAGTGACAATGCCGAATGACGCGACAGCTAATGTAATTTTTCCGGTAGATCTCACTTTTATTAAAAGCAAATTAATTGTAAATATTTTTCCTGTACCTCCTAGGCCATCAAGGAAAAATATTTTTCCTTAATTGTTATCAATTGATGATAGTAATGTAGTGAATACTTTTTTTTGATCGATGTTCAATCGTGGCTCATCTTGTCTTTTACAGTCTGTGTAGTCAGTGTATTCGACACTGTTCGTTAAATCTGAGTTGGTAGTATTAGCTGGCATCGGCAGCCAAAATCCTTTATTGATTTACCCGAAAGTAATTGTACTACTTTGTTCAATTCCAATAATGCTTCGTCAAATATGTTTTGATCATATTGTACATCATCTGAAACTAACTCTCGCCTGGCCATATTTTATTGAAATTTATTCCATAGAGTAACATAATCAGTTACTTGACTTACTTTGTTAAGTATTGTAAATAACACCTTGTACAATTCTCAGGTGCACAAAGGATATCATGCCTTTTACAACATGCAGTAACATTCTCAGATAAAAACATTCGCTGTTGTTTTGATGAATCACGTAGACTTTGCCAAGAGCATCCGTGTTTTTTTCTCCGAGGAAACCATCGACCGCAGTACCTTGTTTTCGCCGTTGAAAAAATTTCCTATCTAGAAACGTGCTCCTAAATCCTCTCCAGTCCGGTTTTCGACCTGGTCACAGTACCACTACTACCCTAGTCCATATTACGGAGGATATCAGATCTGCTATGGAGAACGGCGAGCTTACAGTTCTAACACTGCTGGACTTCAGTAACGCATTCAACACGGTTGACTTTGACGTTCTGCTGTATACATTACGCACTCTTAACATATCTCCAACTGCGATTGACTGGTTTCGCAACTACCTGCTTGGTCGCCGGCAGCGCATTAGTATTGAGAGCACTGTTTCATCTTGGTGTAGTACTACAGCCGGTGTACCGCAGGGTGGCGTGCTATCTCCCCTATTTTTCTCTGTTTGTCAACACTATCACTAATGAT